AGTTTTTCACTAAAATAAAAGCATAGTAAATAAAAACGGACGTCATAGCCAAAACTCCTGTTTTATCCCACATCCCCTTCAAATCCCGCTCATGCTCTAAAAATCCTGTTTTCGGGATAAGTTAATAATCCCACATATGGAAACACTGCTAGTACCGCGATGCGCGGAAGGATAGGCCTACATTCGTCGTTTCAATTTCAATACGATACTGAATACAATTCCTCATTGAATTTATAAAAAGAGAAAAGAATTTATTTATAAAAATAAATACATCTGCCTTAAAAAATAAGGATGCCAATGACACAGAAAAAATTATACAAGATAAAATTGTATAAGACTGATTAATTTTGATGTTTGCCATATAGATGATTTCTCATTATGGTCAATGAACCTCTTAATGTTTCATGAATAATAATTTTCAAAAAGGATCTGTCCAAATCATATTGTTTCCAAAAGTTCACAAAACATTTTGATAATGTTCCTCTAGAACCAATAAACAATCCAATCACCTCAATTTTCCAAATTTTAAAATTTTGCTTGAAATATTCAAAGGTAGAATCATAATTTTTTTCTATTCTTCATTTACTTCGTTAGGTTGATTTATGTTTATTTCAAATCAAATTGTTGGATCGAGAATTATGCCTTTGTTAGTTTCTCTTTCGATCAATAAAATATCTACTCTTCTGGTGCTTCCGTTAGAAGAAAGACAGTGTACTTCTTCTTGCACTTCCCATGTATTATACCTTTTTCGGAAGGCATTTGCTATGATACTTCTTATTTTGTGGTGCCTAGTGTTTCTTAGAAGTTCACCAAACGGACAGAAGCCAAGGGCATGTGCAAGGGTTTCAATCTCACCACAGGCATGCCTGCAGCGGTTATTGCCCTGACTTCTGCTGTGGAGAACACGCACTGGCACCACATTTGCAATCATTTTTATACTGTCTTTCCACTCAGATTCGGACAAGCCTTCTTTATTAATAATACTTTTATTTCCCGGAGTATAGTCTTTGAAAAGTTCAACACCTTTACCCTTTCAACAACCTTTCAATACTGATTCAACCTTTAATAAACTAAAAAAAACTGCACTTGTAGGAGTTTATAAAAAAAATGTTATCCTGTTAGTTGAAACATTTAATAGTTTAGTTTGGTACTACTTTTTGTCTCCGGTACAAGCATGGTAGTTATTTTTCCTATATCACATGTTTCTTCCGATATAAGCCGATGATATCGCAAGCAAAATATCAATATATATCAGTATCAGAAGCACCGTATCGTCTTATCTGCTAGTGTCAAGTCAAGGCCAAGTAGAACATAAAAAGTGTGAGGTTAAGTTAGTTGGTACTCTTAATTTTCCAGATTCCAGATGTTTAATTCTTTTCTTATTGGTTTTATGAGTAAACTATTTAGGCCTACATTTTTTCTAATAATTCTTGATTCTGACTATTCGATATCGTCTTACGGTATACCTGGAAAAAGTATAATATCAGTCTGGAAAACCTGGAAAAGTCAGGGAATTTCATTTTCCAAAATCAGTACCAACCCTGATATGGTATTCTGGTTTGGGGAAACTCATGCCACTCCAACAAAATATTCAAACTTCAACAAAAAGCAATTAGAATTATTGGGCGAGTTCCTCGTAGAACTCCTTATAAAAGTCTTTTTCAAACATTTTCGGTTTTAACATTTTATGATCATTATATTTTAGAAATTTCAAATTGGGTTAAAGACAATCTCTCCTCATTCATGAACCAACCCATTCATTCCCACCACACTAGATTTAAGAGTTATATTAAGCCTGAAACCCATAGATTAGAGAAATTTCATTTATCTCCCCAATATATAGGCCCACAAGTTTACAATAAGTTACCACTCCGCATAAAAAATATTGATAGTAAAACACAGTTCAGATCCACCCTGAAGACCTGGTTAAAAACAAAAAATTTTTTTTCTATAGAATGTTATTTAAATAGGGACGTTAAGTTAGATTAATAATTTAGTAAGACTTTTTGTTATTTCTTAGTTTTAGTATATCCTGTATATGACTTTATGTCCTGTCAAAAAATGATGTAATGACATGTAGTAAATAAATAAATAAATAATAAATATATCTGGCCAGGGGGTAAAATTCCGGGGGTAAAAATCTGGGCCGTATATTTTGAGCTGACCTTATGAAGGGGGTAAAAGTCCGGGGATAAAATTACGGCCCGTACACTCTAGGTTTTTATAATTTGATGTGTTGTGATTAAATTCACAACCGTTAAAATATACGTTTAATTCCGTGTTTAATCCATCAAACTGATGTCGCGAAACTCAAGAGTTCGCGGCCGGAATTTTACCCCCTGGTTTGTGACGTCAGGGCTGCCCAGGGGGTAATATTCCAGGTGGATAAAAATCCGCTACCCCATTTTTGCTTAGTTGCGGGCCTATTAATAATATACTAATTGGTGCCCTCCGAATAGACTATTTTAAGTGCACATTAATATTACAAGTTTGTATAATGTATTATTTTGGGATTTCTAATTTGATTTAAATTTGGTATGTCGACAGTCGTCAACTTAATCTTATCTAATGATATTTTTGTTTGTTCATCACAAACATCATTTTACTTTAACCTTTAAAACAATAAGTTTGTTAGGTAATTTTCCTATCTGTCAGGGAAGAAGTCTTTTCAACAGCTCGTTTTCCGACCTTGGCTTCGCCTCGATTGTAAAACTCGAGCTAGGGTTTAAAAGAGTCACTTTACGCCCTAGTGATGAAATATATTATTGTTTTCTGCTTTATGTATCTTATTCTATTGTTTTTGTAACTTCATCATTGGTCAGATTTAAATGTACTGTATATTGCAAATTGTATGCAGGCTAAGCTAATTAAGAATTAAACAAAACACCAGAAAACCTTTAAGAAGATTGATCACAGCTGACACATGTTGAACATAATGATAGCTAATCAAAGTCAAAAGTCACATGACTCATGTAAGAGTTGTATATGAGTCACTGATGTCTGCATGTGTGATTGAGTCAACTTCCATCAGCTGTAGTACAAAGTCTAATCTTACGTTTTGAGGATGAAAAATCTACACACAACTTAATTAATTGGTTAAGTTGACTCATATCACCTTTGATCAGCCAAAGTACAAAGTCTAGACTTTACAAGGATGAAAAATGTACATACTAGACACCAACCTAATTAATTGTCTAGGTAGCCGAATGTTTTAGTGGCCGCCTTCAAATCTGAAGGTCATTGGTTTCATTCCAAATGAGAGTGATTTTAAATGTAGATGCCAATTGTTATTGGGCTGTTAATAGCTACAGTTAGAATAATAGTTAATTTAATTTTCTTACCATTTTCACTCATGATTTAGATTTACAGTATAATGCTATAGTATACATTTTTTGTTTTAAATTAAATACCTAACAAAAGATCAAATTAGATTGTAACAAAAATTGGGTTTGGATTATTCCTTTAATAAAGTGTAAAAAATTGCAAAGGTTTTGATAAAAATGGAAATCACAAAAACAACTAAATCATCTACGAAAATAGTTCCACACAGTTGAATGCACACAATGTTGGTAACACAACCAATTTAATATTTTGCTTTTCTGGGGATTTTTTTGCAATTTAGTACTTTAGTACTACCATTGGTATTACCATTGAGTATATATACCTTATAGATATATATAGGGCCTAGTCAATGGTATTACGCAACTGGCACTGTTTTAACTGTCCATGTATTGTTATTTTTAACTCAACAAATTAGGTTAGTTCTATATTTAGTTCTAAATTCTGTTATAGATATATAAATAATGTTAAATATAAATCACACATAAACAATCTTCAAACTATCTTTAACTGATTTATAAGGACAAGTCATCTATGTGAATAAATTTAATCTATAGTATCTACAGTCTTTAACGGTGATAACACATTTTGTGATAGCTGAATTCCATTACACCCTATTATAGCATTAGTAATAGATAACAATTTACTTTGTACCATAATAGAGATAAGGAATACCTTATCAGGGTTTCCAAAGGCCAAGGTCTTTGTTATAAACAAAGAATTCACTTGATAATATTTTTGTTTATTTAAATTGATGTCATGGATTCCAGGAGCTGTGATATCATTGGTCAGTTTGTATCCTTAGAAAACTATTTGAAGATTGGTCAAATTTTACTGATAGCATTGATTAATTGTTTTATATGTTGTGTCATTTGTTTTCACTTATCTTTTTCTTTTAACTAAATTAACTAATGACCTTAAAAACGATGTGCTACTTGATAGGGGGTGCTATTTAACAATTTTAAGTTACCCCAAGCAACCCCTATTTAGGGGTGGGAGGAATTTCAAAATCCCCCCAAAAAAGTACTTTACATTACCCTAGTAAGGTGTATTGAAGCTCGTTTGAAAATTAACGGGGGGAGACTATTATGGGACACCCGGTGGTATAACTGTTTAAAAATGAATTGTAATTTAACAGCTGTTGCTTTAGTTGAATGTTTAACCACAGTCGGATTGTGAACAAGAGACTAAACTGTTTATGTAAATGTATTTTAAATAGGCTTTTTTTGACAAATGTGACTTTGATCCTGAAATGGTAAATGGGTTTTGCACTGGATTCATTATACCTTGGAAACAAGTTTTTGACCAGAACTTCGCAATTTGCTCTTGTGTCCCCTTGTTACTCAAAAATTCTTAAAATCTATCTCTAATAGAAAAAGAATCTTCTTTATCTTGATTGTTACCATAACTATTTTTAAGGATTTTTTTGTTTTACTGTTGTACTGTTCTCCGTGTGGTTTTCAATTGTCATTTTCAAACAGTGGTTTGTGTTACCGATATTTTGATGGTTGAGATACATTTCCAAATTCTAGATCCTGAAACTTGTGAAAACTTGGTTCTTTACCAAACATGATGGAAAAAATTGCCGTAATATCTTAATTAACTAACTTATGATCATCTATAATGAACTTTAAACAAAGTATTGCGTCTGTGTGTTTCAGAGATGGCGCAAGAGGTGGTTCGTACTGCGCCACTCGGGGGAGTTGCCTGGACAGTACTTCTTGTGCTACTACACAGACAAGAACTGCCGGAAACTCAAGGGGAGGATAGACCTCGACCAGTGCGAACAGGTAGAATATAGTACAAAAGTACTTGAAAGTTTGCTACCAACTTTTGCTTACCATCTTGGTAGGTATATGTTATAATGGGAGACTTAGTTTTTACTTAAAAGACAAACTCGATTGGCTTATTGGATTCAAAATTATCTGGCATCAGGCTTTCAATAAATGGTCCTGACTAATGAAACAGCTGATCTTAGTCAGTAACAAAGCTACACAAGGCACCACACTCCATTCTACACTCATCCTTCACTTGTAATAGGGTTCAAATATGCCAAGCTCCGTGATATGATTCTAATAATGTTATCCTTTATGGAACAATATTACCTTTATAAAGAAAGAAATTTAAAAAAATTTAAAAAATATCAAATTAAATTGGAAAACAATTTATTGAAAATATAAAATTGAATTAGAAAACAGAGTAGTGAAAAATATCAAATAAAATTAGAAAACAACATAGTGAATAATATGAAATTGAATTAAAAAACAATGTAGTGAAAAATATCAAATTTAATTAGAAAACAAGGAAGTGAAAAATATCAAATTGAATTATAAAACAACGTAGTGAAAAACATTAAATTGAATTTAAAAACAACAAAGTGAAACATTTAAAATTGAAATAGTAAACAACGTAGTGAAAAATATCAAATTGAATTAAAAACAACAAAATAGGTATCAAATTGATATAGAAAACAGTGTAGTGAAAATATCATATTAAATTAGAAAACACTCAAATTTTCTGGCAAAAATCTGTTCAGTAACATCTATTTGACGGATAGACTTAAAAGAATCTAATTGATATGGGTGGAAAATAAAAACCGAATTTAAGTGTTTAACTATTCCGTAAATGTATTTCCCAGGTAATCTGCCTTTGTAGCTAAGATCATAAAATGTGATAACATATTGTATTTTTGAGAATTTTATAAAATTTCTTATGTAGTAGAATGTTTTACCTTCCTTTATTAAAATTCTTTTACTGAAATTTAAAATTTTATACAAACTACATGCTTAAAGGAAGTAAAAGCTTTGTTATGCCAAATATGTTTAGCAAAAAATTTGTTGTAACTTATTTTTTTACAATATGTTAAAAATAGGGGGAATATGCAATTGTATCGTTCTTTATTACATTGATTGGAATGTTAGGTCAAGATATTGACTGGTGAAGGTGACTAGAGAGACTGGTACACTCAAGGACTGAAACTCGACTCGGCAAAAACAAACACAAGTGAAAGGCAGCAAACTGCCGAGGTTGTGAAAGTTTGCTGATAGCAGCCTTTGGTCTGTCGCAAAACAAATACAAAGGCAGTCAGATTGTTGTTTATATATTGGATACTGCTTATAATAGTCTAGAGTGTAGTAGCATTGACTATATAAACACTAGTTGGTAGTAGGAAAATGTGCATCTCATTCTAATTTGGAAATTACAAATAGAACCTTTTAATGTTGAATGGTGATACTGTGTTTTATTTTTGGGTTGCCTCATTTTGTGAAGCAGTTTTAGCCATAGATATAAAGAAAATTTGTTTCCAAAGAAGTGATTTTCAGTTTTTAAATTGGAAGTTTTCTTTTAAGGAAAATCTAATTAATGTTAAAAATAAGGTACACTTCATATTTTTTTTTTCAATTAAAAGAAATTGACTTACCAAGTAAAAAAGTCTAAATCACCACTTGTTTATTTATATTGTTTTTTGGATAGGAAGAAATTTGTTTAATCTAACAACAAAGCATATTATTTTTAAAATTTTTTTTTCAATTTGTTCCAAAGAATTTGTAAAAAATAAATTTAATGTCAATTACAGTTTTAGAAGTCACACCCCAGTATTGTGCAAAATTGAATATTATGGACAAATACAGATTTACATTAGTCGTGTCAAACAAAATATATCATTACGTCTAAAATTAAAATAAAACAATTGTACTTCAATCAAACTATCCCGGGAGGGAGGTTATCGGTTTGAACCCCTATTCTTGACCTTAAAACGTGATTTTTGCACTAAACCTTTTTTCTGTTAAAAATCTCTTTCATGTCTCTAGTTAGCCTAAAACATGAGTTTACAGGTCTAATTTTCAAAAGTTTCGTGGAGGAGAGCCGCCAGACCCCCCCTTTCCTGGAGGAAAGTATTCTGTAACATCCCCCTTAGGGCCATCCTAGTTATGCCTATGCCTAGTTAATCTATCCCTAAGCCAAGTGCTTGTGCTTGAAAAAAACTAGTTGTAATAACAGTCAAAGATATTTATATTATTAAGATTTCCTTTGTTACGATGGTTTGTATATTTTTGTCCATATATAAGGGCAGTAAGAACACAGGAAAAAAAATTAATCTAATATAATTCAAATACTTAAAATTGGGGTAGCAAAAAATATTTGATTCCAATATATTTGTTCAGGTGGATGCTGGGCTCAGGTTTGAGAACCACAAACAGAAGTACCAACACATGTTTGACGTGAAGACGCCCAAGAGGACTTACTATCTGGCTGCGGAAACGGAGGAAGAGATGAATAAGTGGGTGGATTGTGTGTGTCAAGTGTGTGGACTCAAAGCTTACTCTCAGTACGAGGTGACACCCTGTGAGTATAATAACTGTCTCTAGGCTTATATAAAGTGGTTTTAATATTTTTGTGTTCCATTTACATAACAAATCAAGTCAAATGACATGGAAATATAAAAGTACGAGTCAAAACCTAACAAAACACTAACACTGCAATGTTATTTGAGCGGACTGGTTCAGTGAGTAGGTGGCTCAGTCGGTAGCGTCATAGACTTCGGGCCCAATGCAGCGATGTCGTTAGTTCAGATCCTGGTCACTGCCGCTAACATTTTATCTACAGTTCACCTTCGTTCTGTACCGGCTCACCCCTTGCTTTGCTGGATACGTTCCACACACGGGCAAATAGTCTATGTGGACTGGCAAATGCAAGGTTAAAAGAGACCGCTAACCTCTTTTTTTTAAAAAAAAAGGGGGGGAAACCAGTAGCGATGGGTAGGATTTTAGTTTGGGACAGGATTTAGATTTCCTTTTCGATATTCAACTCGTGAAAACTTGAGTTTGACCAACAAATCTTGAGTGAAAATTATTTTGAATGGGCAATAATTAATTACTGGCAAAAAAAAACATTGATTGTTAACATCAACTGCGATCACAAAGACATCATCGTCTCCTGCAATAGCCCTGAAATCGCCAGAGACATTATTATCACTTGTGATCTTTGCAATTTTGCTGACAGTTGGAACAAATAAAAAAAATCATGGATTAAATCAAACCACTCTGAAGAAAGATATGTATTTTTCTTAAGATTTTCCCAAAATTTCTGAACCCGTCCATCCCAAGTTATTAGTGTAAAACAATATTGGACATTTTACCTGTCAATGTTGTAGATGGAGAGATGTTCCCTGGAGGAGAGGAGGAGACACCGTCACTGGTGGGGGGAGAGGAGAGTCCGCCTGTGTCACCAGCGTCTACAGCCTCAGGACCATACATACCCATCTCTGAGTATATCTAAGTATCTACTTGTCAATGTTGTAGATGGAGAGATGTTCCCTGGAGGAGAGGAGGAGACGCCCTCACTGGTGGGGGGGAGAGGAGAGTCCGCCTGTGTCACCAGCGTCTACAGCCTCAGGACCATACATACCCATCTCTGAGTGTATCTAAGTATCTACTTGTCAATGTTGTAGATGGAGAGATGTTCCCTGGAGGAGAGGAGGAGACACCCTCACTGGTGGGGGGAGAGGAGAGTCCGCCTGTGTCACCAGCGTCTACAGCCTCAGGACCATACATACCCATCTCTGAGTGTATCTAAGTATCTACTTGTCAATGTTGTAGATGGAGAGATGTTCCCTGGAGGAGAGGAGGAGACGCCCTCACTGGTGGGGGGAGAGGAGAGTCCGCCTGTGTCACCAGCGTCTACAGCCTCAGGACCATACATACCCATCTCTGAGTGTATCTAAGTATCTACTTGTCAATGTTGTAGATGGAGAGATGTTCCCTGGAGGAGAGGAGGAGACACCCTCACTGGTGGGGGGAGAGGAGAGTCCGCCTGTGTCACCAGCGTCTACAGCCTCAGGACCATACATACCCATCTCTGAGTGTATCTAAGTATCTACTTGTCAATGTTGTAGATGGAGAGATGTTCCCTGGAGGAGAGGAGGAGACGCCCTCACTGGTGGGGGGAGAGGAGAGTCCTCCTGTGTCACCAGCGTCTACAGCCTCAGGACCATACATACCCATCTCTGAGTGTATCTAAGTATCTACTTGTCAATGTTGTAGATGGAGAGATGTTCCCTGGAGGAGAGGAGGAGACACCCTCACTGGTGGGGGGAGAGGAGAGTCCGCCTGTGTCACCAGCGTCTACAGCCTCAGGACCATACATACCCATCTCTGAGTGTATCTAAGTATCTACTTGTCAATGTTGTAGATGGAGAGATGTTCCCTGGAGGAGAGGAGGAGACGCCCTCACTGGTGGGGGGAGAGGAGAGTCCGCCTGTGTCACCAGCGTCTACAGCCTCAGGACCATACATACCCATCTCTGAGTGTATCTAAGTATCTACTTGTCAATGTTGTAGATGGAGAGATGTTCCCTGGAGGAGAGGAGGAGACACCCTCACTGGTGGGGGGAGAGGAGAGTCCGCCTGTGTCACCAGCGTCTACAGCCTCAGGACCTTACATACCCATCTCTGAGTGTATCTAAGTATCTACTTGTCAATGTTGTAGATGGAGAGATGTTCCCTGGAGGAGAGGAGGAGACACCCTCACTGGTGGGGGGAGAGGAGAGTCCGCCTGTGTCACCAGCGTCTACAGCCTCAGGACCATACATACCCATCTCTGAGTGTATCTCAGGGCCTCCTCTCTCTAGCCCTGACAGTATCAGTAACTTCCTAATTCTGCAGCGACGTAGTGAAACCTACGATGCGCGACGCAGTGAAACCTACGACGCACCACGCAAGCTCCAGGTATAAATATTTATCTTTATGTGCAAAAGTACTTCCTGCTATGCTGAATGACACTATTTTTCGAATCTGCCTATTCCAAACTAAATTTAGTAAATTATTTGTTCTATTGTTTTCTGCAAATGTTGAAGGATCCACCAATATTGCCGCAAACTACGCCGATGTTTCTGATATTGATGTGCTTTTGGCGATGTTGGCAACAATGCCAAGATTGTTGAATATTCTAGCTACGATTTTGTGAAAGTCAGCCAGGCCATTGATGTCGCAAACGTTGGTGATGTTCAAGATTTTGTCTGAAATTTCCTAGAGTCAAGTAAAAATGTTACCAATGTTGACAATCCTAGCACTACTCCAGAAACAGTGGCAAACTCAACAATATCACACAAGTCTGCAAAACTACAACTTCACCGTCAACAATGGAGAATCTGGCGATGATACTACAAATGTCAGCCAAGGTAGTATAACGACGTAGGTTGGCAATGTTATATGTTTCTGTGAATAATACACAAAGCAAAATTGTCATGGAAAAATCATGGACAACTTTGCGGACATCATAATTATTGCATCCCACAATTGTGGAAAACCCAACAACGCCATCTACAATTGCAGCGATTAATTACTGAAAATGTGCTTGTCCAGAAATAATGCTGATCCAATAATGGTGCGTTCCTAGTTAATCCGAATAAAGGGACTCTACTGTAGTCGCCTTTCTCTCTCCAAAGCTTTGCCCCCAGACTTCCATTTAACATGGAAGGACTTAACCGTTCTTATATCAGGATTTTTTGAGAGGATAGCAGGCTTACCTGAATGGGAAAGAGTCCAAACTGGCACAGGAAACACAAAACAAAACTTTACACTATATACACAAAACATTAGAATATTTCACTGTCACTGACAGCATTTTCAACTAAGGAAGAGGAAGAGATAGTTTTCTAGATGTCCAAAATGGTGGCCAGTGAGTTGTTGAGTCAGTGTTGCCAATAGTATGAATTCAAAAAACACAGTTTCAGTTTATCTTTTATGCACTATATATATATGAATAAATATGTAAGCCTGCTAGTTGGGTTGGATATTGAAGTGGAGTGGGTTAGATTAAAGGTATTATCTCAGGTTTAGGTTTGGGGGTTGTCTAGACTTAGTAAACCATTGATAAGACAATTCCCATCTTCTCAGTTGTGACTGGTTACATTGAGGGGGCAGTGATTTGACTATTTTGGTTGTAAAGCAGTCATTGAAACTAGGGTTGTTGTGGCTCTGGGCATGTTGTACAACTGGTTTGTCTTTGTATCCAGTAGATACATCTTGTCTATGGCCATTCATCCTGGTTCTGAGGCTATTGGTGGATAGGCCTACATACTGTGCCTCACATTTGTTACATTGTAGTTGGTAGATAATGTTCTTCGTTTCACAAGTGTTGAAGCCTCGGATGTTGTAGTTTTCTTTGGTTGTGGAACTGGAAAATGTTTGGCTGGGTTGATTTATTTCACATGTTTTACATCTCTTGTTATCACAGGGATATGAACCGTTAGGGCGTGCGTTGTTTGGGTTGTTGTTGGCCGGGTCAGGAACTTTTGGGTGGACTAGTATTTTTCGGAGATTGGGTGGTTGTCTAAAAACAATGTTAGGTGGATCTTTCAAAAAATTGATGGTGTGGTTGGAGGCCTTGAGGATTTTGAAGCCCTCTTTTAAAATGCCATTCAATGAATGTAGTCCTTGGTGGTAGTCTGTGACAAGAGCAATGTTTTGGCTATTTCGTTTTTCATTATTTGGTTGTGGATGGTCTTGCGCTAAGCGGATTTGGTTCTCCACCAGCTTTCTAGGGTAACCCCTTTTTATGAATGCGTCAGATATTTTGTTATTGAACTTGTTTAATTCATCATCGTTGCTGCAGATCCTTTTGCCCCTGATGGCTTGACTGAACGGGATGGATCTTTTGGTGTTCTTTGGGTGGTTGCTGTTAAAATGTAAATATTGTAGATGGTTGGTAGGCTTGAAGTGTACACCGGTTTGTATGAGTCCATCTTGAATATTTATTTCTAGGTCCAGGAAAACTATTGTTGATGTTGAGATGTTGCTGGTGAATTTAAGGGAACTGAAACTGTTAAGGCTGTCAATAAACTGTTTTAAGGAGTCTGAGCCTGAGGTCCACAAGATAAAAATATCGTCTATAAACCGGAACCAACACAAAGGTTGTACTTTTTGGGATTGTAGGAAACATTTTTCGAGTTTCCCCATGAACAGATTTGCGTAGGATGGGGCCATCCTCGTACCCATGGCAGTGCCTTTAGTTTGTAAGTAGTTTCTACCTTCAAATTGAAAATTGTTTTTTTCTAGAATGAACTTAACCATGTTCAGTAGGAAAGAAGTTGAGGGCTTAGTGTTTTTGGGGCGTTGATCCAGGAAAAATTCTATAGCCGCAAGACCATGTGTAAGGGGGATGTTAGTGTACAGGGAAGTTACATCTATGGTAGCCAAAATCGTCCCAGGAGGAAGAGGTGTTGGTATGGTTGTCAGCCGTTCTAAGAAGTGGTTGGTGTCTTTAACATGTGAAGGTAATTCACTGACAAAAGGTTGCAGGTGAGAATCTACATATGCCGAGATTCTTTCCGTGGCAGAATTGCAACTGGCAACTATAGGACGGCCAGGGGGTGGAAAAACGTTTTTGTGTGTCTTGGGCAGTATGTAAAATTGAGGGGTAGAGGGGTTGTCATTTATGAGTAGTCTTATTGATTCAGGGGAAATATTTTGGAGAGGTGCTTCTTTAACGAGCCACTGTGTGAGTTCAGTATTAAAATCGTTGGTTGGGTTTTCATCAATCTCTTTGTAGGTGTCTTTGTCGGATAACTGTTTGTAGGCTTCAGCAGTGTAATCTTGTTTGTTCATGATTACAGTGGTGGATCCTTTGTCAGCTGGTAGTATCATAATGTTTCTATTATTTTTCAAGGATTTTAGAGCTGTTCTTTCTCCTGGAGTCAGATTGTCGTTTTTTGGCAGTTTCTTCAAGAAATTAGGGTCTGTGACAGTTTGCATTATGAAGTTTATGTACAGTTCAATCAGGCCAGTTGTTGTTGCCAGTTGCAATTCTGCCACGGAAAGAATCTCGGCATATGTAGATTCTCACCTGCAACCTTTTGTCAGTGAATTACCTTCACATGTTAAAGACACCAACCACTTCTTAGAACGGCTGACAACCATACCAACACCTCTTCCTCCTGGGACGATTTTGGCTACCATAGATGTAACTTCCCTGTACACTAACATCCCCCTTACACATGGTCTTGCGGCTATAGAATTTTTCCTGGATCAACGCCCCAAAAACACTAAGCCCTCAACTTCTTTCCTACTGAACATGGTTAAGTTCATTCTAGAAAAAAACAATTTTCAATTTGAAGGTAGAAACTACTTACAAACTAAAGGCACTGCCATGGGTACGAGGATGGCCCCATCCTACGCAAATCTGTTCATGGGGAAACTCGAAAAATGTTTCCTACAATCCCAAAAAGTACAACCTTTGTGTTGGTTCCGGTTTATAGACGATATTTTTATCTTGTGGACCTCAGGCTCAGACTCCTTAAAACAGTTTATTGACAGCCTTAACAGTTTCAGTTCCCTTAAATTCACCAGCAACATCTCAACATCAACAATAGTTTTCCTGGACCTAGAAATAAATATTCAAGATGGACTCATACAAACCGGTGTACACTTCAAGCCTACCAACCATCTACAATATTTACATTTTAACAGCAACCACCCAAAGAACACCAAAAGATCCATCCCGTTCAGTCAAGCCATCAGGGGCAAAAGGATCTGCAGCAACGATGATGAATTAAACAAGTTCAATAACAAAATATCTGACGCATTCATAAAAAGGGGTTACCCTAGAAAGCTGGTGGAGAACCAAATCCGCTTAGCGCAAGACCATCCACAACCAAATAATGAAAAACGAAATAGCCAAAACATTGCTCTTGTCACAGACTACCACCAAGGACTACATTCATTGAATGGCATTTTAAAAGAGGGCTTCAAAATCCTCAAGGCCTCCAACCACACCATCAATTTTTTGAAAGATCCACCTAACATTGTTTTTAGACAACCACCCAATCTCCGAAAAATACTAGTCCACCCAAAAGTTCCTGACCCGGCCAACAACAACCCAAACAACGCACGCCCTAACGGTTCATATCCCTGTGATAACAAGAGATGTAAAACATGTGAAATAAATCAACCCAGCCAAACATTTTCCAGTTCCACAACCAAAGAAAACTACAACATCCGAGGCTTCAACACTTGTGAAACGAAGAACATTATCTACCAACTACAATGTAACAAATGTGAGGCACAGTATGTAGGCCTATCCACCAATAGCCTCAGAACCAGGATGAATGGCCATAGACAAGATGTATCTACTGGATACAAAGACAAACCAGTTGTACAACATGCCCAGAGCCACAACAACCCTAGTTTCAATGACTGCTTTACAACCAAAATAGTCAAATCACTGCCCCCTCAATGTAACCAGTCACAACTGAGAAGATGGGAATTGTCTTATCAATGGTTTACTAAGTCTAGACAACCCCCAAACCTAAACCTGAGATAATACCTTTAATCTAACCCACTCCACTTCAATATCCAACCCAACTAGCAGGCTTACATATTTATTCATATATATATAGTGCATAAAAGATAAACTGAAACTGTGTTTTTTGAATTCATACTATTGGCAACACTGACTCAACAACTCACTGGCCACCATTTTGGACATCTAGAAAACTATCTCTTCCTCTTCCTTAGTTGAAAATGCTGTCAGTGACAGTGAAATATTCTAATGTTTTGTGTATATAGTGTAAAGTTTTGTTTTGTGTTTCCTGTGCCAGTTTGGACTCTTTCCCATTCAGGTAAGCCTGCTATCCTCTCAAAAAATCCTAAAAAATCTAGGCCCTTGTGCTCTATGCTACACCCTTAACCGTTCTTATATCACATTGACTAAAGGATGAGTGAAGATATCTTTGTTCCCTTACAACAGAGAAAAGTCAGCTGTGTTTAGCCAGAATAAAAACAATTAAAATTGTATGAAAAAATAAAAACTATTTTGGATATTTACAAGACGGGTATTGTTTGTTTCAGCCCCCACAGTTGGAGCTGCGGGGCTCAGGTTCGACAACACCTCCGCTGCAAAGCCCCGCCACCGATGGAGAGAGTGTGTTTACTGACGGAGAGGAATGGCCACATCCACACCCCAAGAAACCCCCTGTAAACTGGGAGACCTTCCCTAGGCCTTCTGACAGGTTTGTTAACAGTAGATTAAGTAGTTTGTTGTTTAGTTTCGTTGTAGGCAGCAGTTGAAACAACTAGGTTTGTACACTTTATTTGATAATGCTGGAAGCCAGGTTTTAAGGACGTGGTGGTTTACCTTGCTGACAAAAATAGTTGAAAGTTCACAGACAAAATAAACACATGAAAACTATATTTTTTCACTAAAGCTCCTTATTCGGTTTGTGGAGTCATTGTTCTTGTTTGAGGCTCCAAACTAAATTTTTAGCTGATACATTGCAATTTGCTATGCATTGTTAAATAACCGGATGCATTGCTGCATCCTACAGCGAGAGCAAAGACTCTACAACCAAAGAAGTAGCCAGTAGAAGAAGTACCGGTAGTAGTAGAAAATTTGATGTTTCATGGTTTTATGTGTGTCGTTTTAACTATTTTTGTCAGTAAGGTAAGTCTGATGGTAAATTGATCAGTAAAACTGTTCAAGTAATTAGATATTTGCAATAGGTTGTGCTTGAATGTGTATTTTTGACATATTTTAGTTTTTGTTCTTTTATGATGTAAGTTATAGCCTAGAGCTTTTTTGTTTGTTTCTAGTCAGGTTAAATGTGGCCCTATCTGCTTGTTAAAATAAGGAATTTTTTCACTCTAGCTCGGCAGACGGAGACACACCTAAGCCCAGTAGCATGGTGACGGTCGGCAAACGTTTCACCCGCAACCTAGAGGACGCTGAGATTCCCATTGCCCCTCCTCGGCCTCCCAAACCTTCCCATCTCAACAACAGCCATAGCTACAGCAACATAGAAGACTTGTCTGTGTCGCCGTCAGCGTCGGGCGTGACTGACGAGACTTACGACTTCCCTCGGTCACACCAAATCAACGGAGGCGACTCCTACACCAACGCTGCCCCCGGCAAAGTTAATGGGGACGTGTTCAGGTATTTATTGATATTTTTGAAAGTTTAAATCCAATTGATATTCAGGTACAATGTAATAATGTGATCAATTAGTTTTCTTTGTTTTGGTTTTTAAAGAGAAGGTAAAATTCCAGAGCTCTTGGATGTAAAAGGTCATTGGGCTCCATGGAAAATCATAAATGGCCTGAATTGTAGCTTGTAGGCTAGTTAACACAACACTAAAGATTCTAAGGCAAAACAAATATTGGTAGAACTATTTGTCAATAGAGGGAAGTTTCAGATAGAACTATTTGTCAATAGAGGGAAGTTTCAGATAGAAATATTTGTCAATAGAGGGAAGTTTCAGATAGAACTATTTGTCAATAGAGGGAAGTTTCAGATAGAACTATTTGTCAATAGAGGGAAGTTTCAGATAGAACTATTTGTCAATAGAGGGAAGTTTCAGAACGATTTGGCAATAGAGGGAAGTTTCAAATAGAACTATTTGTCAATAGAGGGAAGTTTCAGATAGAACTATTTGTCAATAGAGGGAAGTTTCAAATAAAACTATTTGTCATTAGAGGGAAGTTTCAGATATAACTATTTGTCAATAGAGGGAAGTTTCAGATAGAACTATTTGTCAATAGAGGGAAGTTTCAGATAGAACTATTTGTCAATAGAGGGAAGTTTCAGATAGAACTATTTGTCAATAGAGGGAAGTTTCAGATAGAACTATTTGTCAATAGAGGGAAGTTTCAGATAGAACTATTTGTCAATAGAGGGAAGGGAAGTTTCAGATCAATCTGAAATATCAGAGAGGTACAGTCACTTGGAATACACACATTCACGTTTTTGGGCGTGAGGGTTTAACCTTTTTGTACCCTAATGAGTCTTTTGTCTTTTTGAGTTAAAAAATAAAACTTCAAAAATTTAAACTCTAGGTTCTAGTAATAAGTTGATTGATTACCTTATAACAATTGAAAACAAACTGTAATAAAAGAAGCACGATTTTATAACATATTTCTTTGAGTTAACATTATAAAAAATTTGTAAACTTTTTTTAATGACCTGAGTGTGTTTGTGTGATTCTTGTGAGTTTTAATCAGATTTTATACTCTTTGGTATACTGCACTTTTTCTTGTATATTTATTTTACAAAGACTTTAAAATAGCATAGCACATAACATATGTGAAATCTTTTGAGTCAATTGATAAATATTTCCGTTGTACCCAGATACGACTTTGCTGCAACGGCGCGACTGTCCGAGACGAATGGAGAACCAACCTCTCCTCCCCACTCTGACTCATCGTCCGTGGTGTTGTATTCCAATCTGCCGTCCCCGGCGCCGCCTGTGGTCAACAGAGGACTCAAGCCTCGGCGCAGGGACTCGACGTCCAACGAACCGTCTCCCCTGGCGCCACCAGTGCAACCTCCCACTATCAACCGCAAACTGAAACCTGTACCTGCGCGGCGGAGGATTGATGACGAATGTAAGTTAATCTTAAATTTGTTAATGTTCAATGATGCAGAAGAACCTCGATAACAATACTCTCATAGAAATTATCAAATAAGACTTATCAAGATTGACTCCTTATTGAAGTTTGCACATGTGATCATAGGTTAAATAAATTCAAGGCTATTTGAAATTAATACTTGTTACTGCGGGTGATTACTTAACGAGAGCCTTGTTATCGAGGTCCGACTCTGTAACTTTATGAAACTGTGATTTTCTTTTAGTTTTGTGGTTATAAAAATGTTATTGGTGTTTAAGAATCATTACGGCATTTTTATGTACAGTGGAACCTCGATAAGAAGACCCTTGATAACAATTTACCCTTGATAAAAAGTGTCATTTGCAAATCCCCTTGAATTTATTTTACATCAAAGCACATGTTATTGAAAACCTCAATAAGGAGTCAACCTTGATAACAAGTATCATTTAATAATCCCCTTGAGAGTCTTGTTATCAAGGATCTACTGTAGCTCCAAACCTGACGCTGTATTAGCAGGCTTTTACTGCAATTCAAAACTTGAGTTCTGGAATGTACCTCATGTTAAATGTATCTTTCAGCCGTTTTTGTTTGGTTATACTGTTGACTTCTTCATACTGAAGAAGACGTCCCATCTCCATCTACTGTATATGGATCAGCTGTCGCCTATTTTGTTCAAAAATTACATAGTTAAACAAGGTACTCTCAGAGCATGCCATGGTGTTAATTCTAATTTTTCTTAGTTTTTGTTACTGAAGTAGCTAGTGTGACAACAGATGCTATGGCTTACAACAAGTCGTCTTATCTGTACGTTGATACGGTGCGAATATGTTTTTTGTTTTTTTGACAGAAATCTGTTTTTTACACCAGCTATATCTAAAAGTGTCTAAATTGAATTATAGTCTGTATAAGGGAACCTGTTTCCTGACCATCCATCTACCTGGGGACTGGCCAATGGTTAAATGTGTGGTGGTTTAACCCTCCAAGTGTCTCTAGTTTTGGTCTTAATGTTCGCCCATTTATTGCGCAATCGCAGGGTTTTATTAAAATGTATCTTAGAAACTTAAAAACAATGTAAAGTATACTGTTTTATATATCATTTTGTTTGGAAAATTATGGGCTTCAATGTAACATATAAAACATTACAAAAAAAATGTTCAACAATTTATGTGGGGTTAACATTTCTCAAAAATTATAAAATAAATGAAAAAATTTATGTTTGCGCTCAATAAATTGTTATAATTTATAGGTCTACAAATATTTTAATAGCCACTTTGTTCAGAATTTTATGAGGATTCCAAAAATATAATAATATAAGGAAGTAGGTTTGCAATTAAATAAGTTATGGGCAAAAAACAGATTTCGGTACATAGTGTTTAGCTAAGAATGCATAGCCTAACCATAGCTAGGAATCTGACTGATAATTTACATCAATATCACTACCTACTTCTTCAGGATCATCAAGCAGCCCATCAAAATCATTTAAATCTTCTTATAATGCACCTTGTATATCACTACTTTTGATTTTTAACACTAAAACAATGATAAACGTAATAAAACACATCAGTCATCGGTGCGAGGTTAACCAAGCTGTTTACAAATACGCACGTCTGCTGTCTGCTACAATATTTTCGGAACTAAAATGAAAAGCGTATAGAAAAAGACATCAGGAGAAAGCTCTGAATCTGCTGAAAAAAACGATACCTAACTCGATCCAGTTCAATCCGATTCAGTCAGTCCCAGAGCCGTCGCCGTAAACAGTGTTTGTGAGTTGCAAAAGCGACACATAACACTACAGCGGATGTGTTATGAGTCGCTTTTACGACACATAACACTCGGAGGTTTAAGGTAGATGGAGGGTCAGGAGACAGATTCCCTTGTACAGAGTATATGTCATTCATTTGGTCAGGAAAGGCTCTAGGCCAGGATTTTTAGTAGTAGAAAAAAGGGAAAGCTGCTAGCTTACTTTGTGGCATATTTTGATGCACACTTTGGTGATCTGGTCATGCGATTCAAGTTCCTGACCAAATCGTTCTTGTTGGAAATTGGAAACGTTAACTGAACACATTATTTAACACAGAGGAGACAATTTACCGCAATTCACAGGCCCCAAGAGCCAGCTTTGATGATTGTTAGATCAATTAATGCATTTATAACTCAGAAATATCTTGATTGTTCAACATATGGAATATTTAGTATATAAGTCAATTGGACACAACGTGAACTAACATTTGAATAAATAATCAATTATAAACGACAGTATGAACGACATAGGAATTTGGTAACCTGAGATGAAATTACATATTAATTAATACTACTATTACTACGACACAATACCTCAAGGGGGCGTCCCCCCATTTCCCAACTTATTCAGCCCTCCATGTTTTCTTGGAGACCGCAGACGCACGACAGACATTCGTTTGGTCACTCCACTCACCTGCTGCTTGCTGCGCATGCGCGAGCGGTCCTCGACTTGAGATAGCTAACTAGGCGGGACATTTGAATGGTTGTGGAGACTAAGCTCCACAACTTTAGAATCTTTAGAGTTCAGCCATTTTGTGAACTCTCTTCTTCAACACTTGACAAAGTCCCCCAACCAAATATTGTATGTCTTCTGTGTGTTCTATGTACCTGTACTTCTAAGGTAAGCTAGCTGTTATACCCTTTATTTCAATACTGCAAGGTTATCCCACACAAATCACCATTATGTTATGATATCTCATGTTCCATGTTTGCAGGTGATGGCAATGTATTGAAGCTGTGTCCTCCGCCACTGGGACGACTGGTCGACGGCAGTCAGAGTCTACGCCGTCCCCGCGCAGCCCCCAGCCCCACCCCTAACAAACCTCATCGGCGCAACTCTGACACCTTCAATGACCAGGTAAAGGTTATAAAAATACCATCCTTATAAACATTTTTGTAGAATTAAAAGCGTGTAAACATACATTTATTTGAAAAAAATCGCAAAAACCAGCGTGATCGGACCATGAGAACAGGGTTAAAAGCAAAATTAACATGGGCCGTATGGGTTGCCATGCTGGTGACCAAATAACAACTAGATAGTAGATATAAACAGAAAATCAAAACATATGGAAGAAACTCCAATCACATGTTTTATTTACAGCGTTGGGTGAAATAGATAAGTCTGTACATTGCATATTTTTAGTTGAGTTTTAGACCACTCGACGACCTCTAGTATTAATTAATGCTTGTTTAGTCGTAAGAAAGCTGGTAGATAGAAAGGATCTAAAGTTTTCAACGGTTATTTTTTCATTTTCTTCTGTGTTCTTCTTTCAGTTGTGTCTTCCTGAGTGTACCATATTAAACAAGATATTCATAGAAACCTTTGTACCAAAATTTTTTTATTTGATTGGGAATATGAAGGAAAATTAATTTTTACTATTGGGCTCCTTATTGTGAGTTCAATCGGGTGGCAGGTCAACCTGTGAACAAAACACTACAAGGGGTAGCAGCTTAGGGCATGGTTCCAACTCCTAGGCGTTAACTTGTCTACGACTATACTTCTGAATGTAAAGCTTGGAAATGTGAGATCTTGGATACATTTGTGCCCTTGTAATAATGAACGCTTGGAAAAGCGAAGCAAGTTTTGATGTTGTTACTAAGAGCACTAAGAATTAATTTTAAAGTATTAATAGAAATCTTCACGCTTGGAAATGTGAATCTTCATACTTCTCCGCACTTTGAATTACTTGGAATTATCGACACCAAGATTTTCCTCCCTCGTGTACTTTGCTTAAACTAGTTTAAACTCACTGACAATTTTCTTGCAGGTTTACTACTTTGAGCCGTACTACGGGCTGTCGCGCAAGATGGAGATACAATACTTGGACTTGGCTCTGGACTCTAACTCTTCCGGAGCTCTTCCTGCCACACCGTCCGGGTCTCCTTCCACTCCTACGGGAGCTCCGCCCACCCCCATCATCTACAAGAAGGTCGACTTCCTCAAGACGTTAGCCTTCAACAGCACCAGGGTGGAGCGGGAGCAAGAACGAATGAGCAAGCCGATCCACTGACACTGTTTTGGTTTTTACATGTTGCTACTGTGTCTCCAAAATTCCCAGGAGTTGAGTCAATATTTGGTGTAATTTTGGAAAATAGCAAAAAAGTTGTGTATTTTTTTAGTATGTAAGGTTCTAGATTTCAAGCTTTTTTGTTAGGATAATAGGCTTACCTGAATGGGAAGGATTCTTAGCACAAGATTAAATACAAACCACTTTACAATATATTTAACCTCAAAAATATGAAGTGTGTAAAATGTTTACTCTAACCTTTTAAATGTGTAGGTTATTCGACACAATCACTTTCAAATTTTTTACATTGACAACATGGACAATTTTTACTCATTTTGGTATGTTAGTTACTTTGGCATGTAGAATATGGTCTGCATAGCATGCTAAGCATTTTTGTGACACCTTGTAGTCACCCCAAACAGATTTCACCGTTAGTGGCAATGAAATTTTCAAATTTTTGAGTAAATGTAAATTAGTTTATGTTTCTTTTGCTAATGTTGATTCTTTCCCATTCAGATAAATTTATTATCATTATCATAACATACATCCTTTTCAGAATTTAAAGGTCCACAGAACTAATCCCTTTAATTATTTAAACTAAAAATATTTTGCTTTCCTGTTAACAAGGATGGCTATAAAGTTTCCGAAACATAGTTTTAACCTATAATAGAGGCCTTACTGTATTTTCCTTCTTTAGTAATCTCTCATTTTATATTACTGTGACGTCTTATGATATTTACCTTCATTATCAGTCAAAAATTCAATCCTATCTTATACATTTGGTTTTGATCTTCAAAAAACATATATTTTGCATTATTTTTCATCAAAAAATCATTTGATTAATATTGTTCTTTCTACTTTGGATCGGTTATGCAATTTATCTTTTATTTGTCGGTTGTTCCATTTTGATTATTTTGAAATCGACTACGAAAAAACAAAATGGAATTTCTTCAGACTGAAATCGAAACAATATTTTTACAATAAGATTACTGATATTAAATAAATCAAGGGTGATAAATTCTACAAATCCATTCATAGGTCCAATACTTGTACCTACTTGTGCCTATACAAATAGTATTGTAAATGTGTGGTAGGTAATATTACACAAGAATATGTCAACAACAAAGCTCGATCAAAATCAGGATTCCACACTACATACTGCAGTTTTTAACAACAATATTATTTATTGTTTGTTTATATCATATCCTTTTTTTAATGGCAACACAAAAAAATATCCAGATACTGCATTTCTTTTTAGAATTTTAAGTATAATGACAATTTAACTTGTACAAATGTTTTTGAATAAGCTTTTTAAGTGTCCAAACAGTTTTATACTTATTTGACTTCAATTATTTTAAAACGTACAATTAACCTATGTGTGAACATATTACAATGATATTACTCAAATATTTTGAAAAAGACTTTGTCTTTACACCATTTATCGTTCATTAGTGTCATAATGTATATATTTGTATTTGTATGTTTGTTCTAACATAGATATCGCTATACTAATGTGTTATATATGTATTATTGTAAATATCGCCTAATTGTTTATGTTTTTGTTTTAAGCGACTGTGTCATTTTATAGATTTTTAACTCTTTTTACTCAAAACGATTTTATATTTTTAAATAAAATTGTATTTTAACAATGATATTAGCATATTATTATCTTAGAGCTATTTAAACGTTTTGTATTGCAAAAGTGCCTTAGGATTTTAATGTTGAACTCGTAAAATGTTGAATTTTGAGAATGTTAAATTAATTTATCAAGGGGTGATTCGGCCACAAGCATTTATATATTGTTTTATTAAGGTTAAAACTAGTGATGTGTCAGTACCATAAATAAAATCTTGATACCACCGGTTAACTTGGTAAAAAGTACCTCCAGCGAAAACCAACATTAAAGCACCATTTCACATTCACAAGCTTATCTAGAATTTCTTTACATTTCACAAACTTCTCCGTCATCAAAACTTTTGTAAAATTCCCAATATCTTGAGTCTTGGTCAGCTATACATTATACAACTCTGGTTAACATGTTATTTTAATTTACAATTAGAAACTGTAACACTTGCAAATAACCTGGTCTTCAAGTCAAAAGGTTTTTCATTTGACAGGGTTTTGGATTTTTGTATAAAACATGAATGTTCAATTACTCAACTCCCATTTCTTAAATTGAAATAACAAACACATCTATGAATCACTTAACTCCGCTATGTAGTATGTAACCTAAGTATTTTTACAATATAAATATTTCAGAAAAAAATTCACAAGTTTCAATGTACTTGAAGGAATTAGTAGCCTACTATTTAGTTAATGATGGTAACGGTACTGAGAACCAAGAAATTATTTTGGCCAGGATTTGGTTCTTGTATCGACTTTGTAAAAGCTGTATTGACACATTACTAGTTACAACCCAGCATTAGTAATAGTTTTGTGATATGAATATTTTAACACTGGGGTGCAGGTCTGACTTTGTCTAGACACCCGAACTCTAGACACCGGGGATCTAGACACCCTCTAGTCACCACCATGTGCCTTCACCTCAGACGATCTCGCAACTGGTTGCTTGCTTGTAACCACATTACCGTAGTCTTATAGCAGTCTTTCAGAATACTATGTTTTCTAAAGATGTAATAATAAATATTTGATATGTTTATTGCCAAATAATGTTTATAGAAGTGTTGCTAAATAAATTATATATTGTGTTTACTGGTGACATTTTTTTCTCCTAATAATTCATAGAGTGATTGTTTATTGAATAATTTTATCCCACCGCAAAACAGACTGCACAGGCATATAAGACCATTCACTGGTTTAAATTAGCTTTGAATTATGTGAAGAATTGAAGGAACTATTATAATGCCAACCATCTTACATATCTAAGCCTATCAGATAACCAACCCTTTTTGTGTTGGTCTTTGGTTCTTCCTATCAAAGAAAAATGTTCCTTTAGTTTTCAATGAGCTTATAACATCCTTGCTCCTCATGTGTTGGTGGGCAAGCAGTCTAACTGACAATAAAGTCTGTATGATGGCTGTCTCCTGACCCTTTATCTACCTAGAACTGGCCCAATACTTCATTCAACCATTGGCTAGCCAAGGTAGGAGGGTCAGCCAAGAGACAGGTTCCATCACACAGAGTATAATGCTACTGTCATCTACTGTGATGCCTTGACAAAGTGTCTCGGTGTCTTCCTGCTCCGAATAATGATCTCAAACACAGACGGTCAGCTCAACCACTGAATAGAAGGACCACCTCCTCAAAGCGGGCCACCTTGACTCCAGAGTTTCTTAATTAATTGTGCTTATAGTATTTGAGCTATTTTGATAGTTTTAAGGTATTATTGGATGGTTGCATCACATCTATGAATAAGAAAGTATATTAAAAGAAGTCGACCTCAAACGGCCTCATAAGGTAGGCTACTTAACATCTAAAGTCAAACAGCCTTGATACTGAGATTTTCGTTGAAATGGCGACCATACAAAGTAGGTATTTTAAGCCAAGTATGAATGGAGATGAGTATAGGCAATATTTTATCGTATGTATGTGCATATTTTAGGCTCAATGGCATTCTCAAACAAGTATGCTTTAAGTTTCTTTCTAAAAGCGTTTATACAAAAAAATAAGGACTAGTATGTGTATGGGACACGTAGTTTTTTTTATCGTGGAGGTGGATTTGTTAGCACAGATTATTAATTTAATTAGTATTTTCATATCACTGACTGTTACATATAAAGTTTTCAAATATAAAAATCTTCATCCTCGGTAACAAACTTAAGCAAAATATAAATGATTAAATCTTATCTTCTTTATGTAGCACATTGGAAGTTTCTTTCATCCTAGCATATTGTTTATCTCAGTATTGATTCCCAATTAGATTTTGTATTATTATATGCTTACAAGGAAATATAATAACTGTTCGTGATCTAAGTGTTATAAATAATGTTCTCTATGTTTTCAGTCAATAAAACTGTCATATTATACAGCTGTTATGAAAACAGCTGGAGCTGCGACTGCGCTTAGCCGGTTATTCTTGGATTTAATTGGCTGAGATTTCTTTCACCTGACCAATAACAACAAAGGCCTTAAACAAGAGAGCAGTCGGTTGTCAGTTGCCAAACTGTTTCAATATGGTGGATCAGCTGGTAGGAATTATTGAACTACAAGTTAATTAATTTGAAAATTAGCCATGATTGTTAGAAAATGGGTTCTATTGCTTCAGTATTACAGTGGCACTGTGAGAAGTGCACTTTAATTAACCCAACCGAACAAATTAAGTGCATAAGATGTGGAACTGTGCGAGAATTCAAACCACCTAGAAAACCTGGACTTAGGGGTAGAAGTGCTAGTTTCAATGAACGTCCCCTGAAATATTCTACATTCACTGTTTCATCAATCAAGAGGGATGAATCAAGAAGTGAGCTGAGTAGTTCGAATCAAACTTCCAACCCTGAGAAAGAACCAGTTGACAATTGCTTAGCACAAAGGTATGTTAGCTAACCTCTCACATAGGCCTAGTCAATTGATTTTTAATTTTCTCAATTATTTATCTTCTCTCTTTTTCAAGCGTTAAACAGGGAATATCTCTAAAATTAATGAAGCGTGTCCAACAGTCGGTACTTAACGACCTCTGTTCATGCTTCAGGATAACATTTTAAGTTATTAATTCAATTCAATGGCTGTCAGGCATGCAATATATTTTTCGGTTTTCATTGGCCAAACTTACTCTTGTTGTCTGCTAGATTATTAATAATAGAGAAAAGAATAGGTTTGAGTTACTTAGTTTAGTAACTTAGCCAACAAAAATTTACTACTTGATAGGCAGGCAAGATTGTTAATTAGGCTAGCCTAATATTTAAAGATGGTAATTAGGCCTAGCCTAATTTTTTCTATTGGCGGTATTTCTTTGACAATCAGGCCTAGGCCCTGGGCCTAAATTAATTAATCGGTTTCTCCACCCAGTTTTTAATTTTAAAAATCCTCCATTTGTTATGCCAAGTACCAACTCTGCATAGCCTTCACAGTTGATTTTAATTCCCAGAGAAAGGTTGGGTGGTAACTTGGTCATAAACATAGCCTAAGTAGGCCTAAGTTTAGCCTATTTTTTACATTACGGACACATGGAATTTCGCCTTAACAATGTTAGCCTATGAGGTTGTGCAGTATTGCATCTAGATCACGACTTTAATGCTTTTCCGTCGCTCCTAATGAAAAATGTGTATTACTTTTTTGTACTAACTTAAGTTAGGCTAAGTAACTTACTTAGTTTTCATGTTTAGCCTGAATTTTCAAAGTTTGACAAATTTATGACAGGTAGAACACTAGGCCCATGAAGTGCTCTAGTGGTTAAGGACATAGGCCTAACCAATTTAAAAAAAACCCAAGGCTGTTCCAATCGAAAATTGGCTACCTACTCATTTCTTAAATTTAAAACTAAACAACACATTTTCCTATAAATATTTTTCCAATAACAAATTTGATAGCCTATGCCTATTTTCGATTTACATAGGCTAGGCCTAGGCTATCTATCTAACTTATCTGTTACAAAAAATACTATTATAGGCTAGGCCGCTCTTATTACCAAAAGGTTTAACACGTTCACTGCGGGCGTATCCGATCGGATAAGGGCTGAGCGGTGTTCAGGTGCTGCCGTAACCGATTGGATACGCTCGGCAATTCAATTCAATTCAAATTCTCTATATTCATTCACAGTACAAGTTTTTATACAATGAATAGCGTCAAATAAATTTGCCTTTCGTATATCTTCAATTTTGCTCTAGCGTGGGTCGAAGGCAGACCTATAAGCTACCACGTTAGCGGACTTGCTTTTGGTTGTGGTGTAGATTGGTAGTAAAATTTCCCAATAAAATCCGTGTCTGGCAAACTTAAAAATCAACTTGGTGTCCCGTCTCTCTCCCTCCAATTGGCAATACAATGGGACCGGCTACGTTACAAGCAGTGCCTGCTATATTTGGGTGTTTAGCGAACTACGTTGACTCTTGTCATAAAGCAGGTATATCACCACACTTTATTTTCTATTCGTCATACCAAAATATGAAAGCCAATCAAAGGCAATGAAGAAATCACCTGGCAATCGGGTTTGTTTGACGCTGCGGGCTGCGCCACACTGGGGCTGCGCCTGCCATTTGATGGGTCGCAGCGAACGTGCTAAGTGGTAATGGTACAATCTTCTTCATTATCCCCTTGTAGCTTGTATCAATGCACGTTGCCAGGGAAGTGACTAGGCCGCCAATTTTCATCCATGTTAGTCTAGGTACCTATTGAGTACGAATTATAAGTTAAAATGAGGTACAGCATTGTGTTATTAGCGATGTTGCAAAATGCGAGAAATGTGGGCAGGAATAATTGCTCAACCACAAAATGCAATTTTTCTGGTGCAACCGTGTGGACATTCTTCTGAGAAACGGAAGCCTATGAGGTGTTTATTAAATATAGGCTAGGTGCCTCCACACAAATTTTTGATTTTGATATTTTTGAAATTTTATTGTTTTTTTGTTTTTTTTTAGCTCTTGAATCCAAATATAGCCTACCATATTTTTTTAACGTGAATGAATATTACTTACCGTACCCGGTAGGTGATAACTTATCCCTGTTCAATTCAAAAAGACTATAGGTAGGTACATTTTTTAAAGGCTTGTCCAGTAGTAAGCCTGATGGTGTCACTTTACTCTGCTGCTTGGTAAAATAAAGGCGAGATAAAGGCGGTCGAAGAGATAATGAGAGGAAGATAAGGCTATGAATTTCGTTGATTAGTCTATTTATTGTCATTCTTTAAGTCAATAATGTTTCTTTTGAAGGGAGTTTTTTTTTTTTCATGGGGATATAAATGGACTGGCAGGCAAATGAAATGTAACAAGGCATGTGGGTTGAAGGATTGTTTTTTAATGAGAAATCAAGGTTGTATTACTTAGGTGTTAACAAGATACAGGTTAGATAATGAGGAAGGTCAAGTTTAGGTCTATAATTGAACCGAGTTGTTTGTTACCTCCAGAATGCTTTCGTACAATTAGCAAGGGGTAAGGCACTGCAAGTACTATTTCAAAAATGTAAGCACTGCCTTATTTTGTTGCCTTCGTTCTTTAGGTAAAGGTTTATATTCACATACACCCTGTGTAAATTTTACTAGTTTGTGTGGTACCGTACCTTTAGAGGGTCTTTTGCATAATACCTTAAATTCCAACACCCCCAATACAAGAAATTAAACGGTGGAGGAAAGGCCTCCTGCCGCGAATCCGCTGTGTGCCGTCAGCGTGTCACCGTTCGGCCTGACTGTGATACAAGTGTAAATATTTTATGTAAATAGACAGTAGAAATTTGTAGTATTCTAAGTGTTAAATAGAATATATGAAGATAGAATACCCCCGAAGATGTCACACAAGCTGTCAAAATGTGTCACATAGGGTGACTTTAGCTCTAGAAATCACTATGTAAAGCTTGTTGTAAAATGGTGTTTGCCGTCAAAATAAATAAATAAATAGAACGAAGGTGAAAAAATAATATTTAGTAGAATTAGTGACTTTTAAAATTTATTTTTTATCAGGGACTCTTTGTGGACGGTACCCACTGTTTAAGCCTAGCTATTTTCAGTCTAATCAAAAGATTTTATTAAAAAATTATCAACACTTAAATATGGTTTTACATTACAATGTACCTACATCTAAAGTAAAAATTTTTAGGCTATATTAAAGTACCCCTGCTATTAGCAAACTTGCAGACTAAGGAAATTTTCATTTGTGTGAAAAGATTTTTACTAAATGAAGCTGGGGTCAGTTTCATTTTGGAAGAAAAAATATTCTTGGATGATAAAAAACTCTTCAGCAGCTGTTTAAAATTATCCAAGATGGCCGCTAGCCTCCAAGGAATCTTAAGCTGGATCAGCTGTTTAACAATAGTTTAATAATTTGTCCAGTGTTTTCCCTCAACAATTCAGTTCAGACTTTGTACTTAACTAAACAGAGATTGTGAATATCATAAAATGAGTCAATCATTGATGAAAGACGTAACATCTGTGACTTATCTACAACTGTTACCATCTGACTCAAGCGACTTTTGACTTTGTATTACTATCATCACCATGTGTTAAGAGTAATTAATCATTCTGGTTTTTCTAGTGTATTTTGTTCACTTCTTCTATTTACATCTAATTGCAAGTATACATGAATTCTTAATAAATATTCCAGGCTATGAAACAGGTGATCTTAGCCATTAACAAATCCATACAATTTTAATACGGTACAGAATCGGGAAGGGTGGCAACCATGCCTCTAGGCTGTTTGTGTACATGTTCAATTTTTGTGATTAATTAATAAAAAAAAATAATTAACCTGTAAAATGGGTTGGTCAGCCAACAGTAGATTTTATTCTTAAAATACTTTGTAGTGTGTGATTTAATTATGGATTCAAGGAAGTTATATATTTTGAGTGACAAAACTATGTGGCTTAGAGTTTTACCTAAACAATGGAATTCTATTGATGCATGGTTATTATTTCTTACCAGAAATATAGCCTACCTATGATTATGAGAATTGTTTCTAAATTTAAAAAATGATGATTTTCTAATATTTGAACTGTCTTAGTCTCTCTCGAGCCTTAGATATAACTCAAACCGCTTTATTTGGCAAAACAAGAATGCCCTCTACACAATTGCCCCAAAAATCAACCTATGCCTGAAAATGGATTGAACGTATAAAAAATATGATGAGTTAAGACATAATTTAGTGGAATGCATTTTCTTCAGACAACCTGGTAAAAATAATAGACGAGAAAGTGTGGTACTTAAATTTAAATTTACTTAAATAGTCTACAGTATGTGTATCCCATGTTTGTTGGATATTAACACATATATTGGACCCAAACACTTATTCCCAAAAGCTTTGCTGTAAAAAGTCTAATTTAAATTTAATCACTGTACAGTCACTATTTATATCAATTCCTCAGAGCTTATTAAACTAGGCCCAATCAAATTGTCAAATACCTATAGACAAATTAAATTTTATTCAAATTTAGTTAGACCTGCAAAGTATCATAACTATCTATTCCATAACTTGCTTTTTAAAAACATTTTTTCTATTTACTTACAACATAAAAAAATAAACACAAAAAATTGGCTAAAAACAATATTTTTAGAGCATTAAAAAGTTAAAAACTTATCTCTAGAATACATCCATTTAGGTTTTTTGGAAGATTCAAAGGAACTACTGAACTGAAATTTACACTTGAGTTAACTATAAAAGAGACAATTCTTTGATAAATAAAATTTTATAACATTGCTATTATCTTACAGCTCCATCTTAAACCCCTATGAATTTAATAATATTAAAACAAGAAATTAAATTGTAAACAAAATTAATAATAAGTAACATCCATAAAGATGAAACCCAAAACATTACTTGGAATTTGTTTATAAGGCCTACTTTTAATTAACTCTCTTACCAAAATTGTATCTTTAAAAATAAAAAAAAGGGTTTCTCAGGACACAACCCTTATTGCAAGAGCAGGTACGAACACGATAGAACTTGGGTCGTGTTGAGACAAGAATGTGAGGCAATTGTAGTTTCCGGTTGGTGCAGAACTATTGACACATTGTTGAAATATGGCTTTGACAATTTTCTCTCTAACCCTTGGCCTTCTCATCTTCGATAGCCAAGTAATTTGTTACGTGACTTTTAAATCATCGAGCTATTTTAAAAGTTGTTCCATATTTTATTAATTTTTAGCGAATTTACCATTTAGGGAATAAGCTAATGTATTTGCGTAGGTGTCACGGTAAGAACTGGAGCTGGGACCGATTTACTTTTTCGTTTTGAGGTCCCCAGAGGCCAAAAACACCATCCGTTCAAATTCATATAATGTATATATTTAAATATATTTGTCCGTTAGCACGATTACTCTAGCAAAAATGATCCGATTTTGATGCAATTTGGTATAAATGGGAAAACCTACATTTGTTCGAATGAATTCGCGAACCAGCATGATAGGACTATGGGAACAGGGGTTTAGGGGGTAAAAATGGGGTTTTCCCATTTTTACCCCATAAACATAACATTTTTCAATTTCTTTCCTAACCATTTTGTAGAGCTCAAAAAAATAAATAATTTATGATATTGAAGCATTGTTGTATGCCCAACCGTTACGGAAATTCTACAGTACTAAAATTTTAAGTAAAATCTTTTGTAATTGCATGCCAAACCGCGATGGGGAATAGGCTAATAGTAATATTTATGTATAAAGAATAACTTAGGTCTATACTATTGCCACACATAATACACTGTGTCAAAATATTCTACTTTGTACATTTTATGTAACGTACATTTTTAATAGATGAGATTTAATCGAGAAAAAACTGTAGAGTATTTTACTTGTGAAGGTTATAATATTGTTGCTAGTAAAACCAAAAACTGTCATACTAGAGGTGAATTTAAATGGGTTAACTATTTATTGGTAAATTATCAAATTATTTCCAATAAATATTGTTTGAATAGAATATAAATTTTTCTACTTTTACCATCCAGAATTTATTTACGTTTAGAAGCCTTAACATTTTGTTGTTTCAACTGTTAACTCTGATACCAAGATCGCTGCCATTAGCCGTGTAACAAAGCAATTGAAGGGAAGCTCTGAACTTTCTTCATAAACGGAACTTAACTGATCTCACAATTTGTGATAACGATTAATTTTTACTCTTCAGGAAAGCGGAGTAATTATTTATATTTTGTTTTTTCCCAAAAACTTTTCCCTAACAAAAGCTTGCAAAACATAGCTCCCACCAGAAAACATTGAAAACAATTGAGTTGAATTTAAATTATGTGAAAAATGATAAGATCAAGGTTATAACAAATTATTTGAAATTTAGTTTGGACTTTAAAATATCCTATTGACAACAGAGTTTGACAAAATTATTTAAAATTTGAAAATAATTTGTTTTTAGTTAAGAGCTAAACAGGCGAATTTTATTTCATTATTTAAAATGATAATAATTTATTTTAGAACGATTCTTATTCCAATTCTCCAGAGAAGACATGTATAAATCAGGGTAAAGTATTGTCTTTATAATTTCAAAACTTTTTTACTCACTGAAAAAGATTGTTTCGACGAGCACAAACTGAATTCTGGTCCAAAGTTAATATGTGTGGGCGTATTAAATTCCTCAGACGAAAAAACAAAAGTTTGTTTATCAGAATAACAAAATAAATGAAAACTAATCTGTTGTAAAATCATCGTACCGGTTCGGTTCTTAGTAACAAAATAAGATATGAATCAAGCTAATGAAACTGTGTACCACCCGTGGCACATGTCAACCTGTCATTGTATAACCACTAGTCAATGTGCGCCACCTGTGGCCACATCTAGTACTACTACCTGAAACAGTACATGACAATGTTCAATTTAAAGTAAAAAAAAGTGGGAAATGTGATGTGTGTGTCTAGTTTTATCCTTATTCAACGATGGAACTCCGTAATCAATGAGGAAATAAACTATACCAGAAATCTGACACATACTTTTTCCCATTTGCTTGTCAACAAATCTTATCATGGGTAGTGGGATTAAAATTTTTATGAAAAAAAATCACAAAAGTTGCAATACCGTAATTTTTACATCATGGGGTGTGTACCATTTTGTTTAGAGCTAAAAGGAAGACTGCAACATACTAAATTTGTATTAAAATCTCCTTGGTTTTTTTAGGAAATTAGTTTTACAGGTTTAAGTGGGAAAACCGTGCTATTAAAAAAAATCCATGCCCTACGGTACTATGGATTAGTAACCATATAGGCCTACCAAATTGCAGTAAAATCGGACCATAGGTGTGGTCTCTAGCTCTGTACACATCCATACACACAAAGACATCACTTGGTAAAACCACTTTTTTGGATTCAGGGGGATCCAAAACGGATATATCATTCCAAAACTCAAACTCAAAAATGTTGATAAAAACAATACTTTCTCCATATACAAAGTAAAAGGCAGATGTTTACCATGGATCTTTGGTTGCAGTGCCAGGAGATGTCAGGTGAAGGCCGCTACGTGGCACGCAGGGGACAGTGGCCGAGGAGAAGGTGTCGTCCGCTCCACCAGTCTACCTAACCTCATGTCTCACTGGGACTGTAGTGTGTGCGGCCTCACCAACACCAGCGTCAGTGATCGTTGTGCCGCATGTGGAATGGCCACCAACACCACGGTGCGTTCCCCCAAACGACAGAGCCCATCCGTCTACGAGAAGGTCCGCTCCAAAGTCAGCAGGTCTTTGTCCAACAACGGTGTAGTTCAGCGTCGACGCCCCAGCAGTCTGGTGGTGGAGTCCAACAGTCTCACGTGGAACGTCAACAACATCGGTGACAAGAACTCCTGGTCGTGTTTGCGATGTACTCTGGTCAATCTGAACAGTGTGGAAAGGTGTGCCGTGTGTGAGATGCCTCGGAAAGCTAACATTCCCAGTAGTTATAGTACTTTGCCCAAATCTGGGGTCGTAATCACGATTCCAGACTGGAGAAGTTCCGTTGGCGCTCACAGAAATTTGCTTGCGACTCCAGCTAAGGAAGTCGCTATTTCGGTGCAACAAACTGATTCTAGTCTCGCTACTAGTTTATGGACTAAACCTATATATCGTAGATCTTTTTCGGAGGTCTTGCCCTCCGATCCGCCTTTAGATAATAAGATTAACAGAAGAAGTTTAGTCGAAACGGATGCTCAAGGTAATTTGCAACAGACGGTGCCGCGACAAGCTAATAATTTAAATTTGAAACTGACTCCAATCAACAGATCTCCTAGCACAACTAGATACTCGTACATAGGAATTTCGGAACCCGGTGTTCAGCATTTACGGAGTCCACAAGGGACTGTGGCGGCCAAAAGAGTTTCTACGGGATCCGTGGTTATAGATCTGGTGGATAAGAAAAATTCCCTTACTGAAAGCACAAGCGCTAAAAACTTTGAGAGAATGTGGACTTGCATAAAATGTTCTTACGCTTACAATCCTATTTGGTCTGAAGCTTGTGATATTTGTAACTCCGTAAGAAGCCCGCCGAGTCTAACGGAACCCAGCCTCATCACAGTTACCAAAGACAGTGTACGATACACGCCTCCTAAAGAAGAAGGATTGGAAAATGGGCCAGATAACCATCTTCAACAAGACTTAGAAGATGACTTTCAATTTCTACCCGGTGATAACGCGGAAGATTGGACCTGTAAAAAGTGCACTCTAGTCAATTCCGGCAGCGAAATGGCTTGTGTCGTTTGTGGAGGGTCGAAGCTCAGAAGTATATCGTTAGTACGTGACATGACCCTACGCAAAGGCGAGTTCTGGACCTGTCCGCAATGCACATTGAAGAATCCTCTCAGCTCCCAGCATTGTCAAGTGTGCAAAACGGCCAACAAGCCGCAAAGATTGCTCGAAGTGCCTACATCTAAAGTTCCCAGAAGTCCTTCTCCGAGACACGGGCAGAAGAAGTTGGCCGGTGCCAATCCAGCTCTGGGTGCCATACCCAAACAGAGACAAACACGCAAGAACAGCTCCCACAGAAGCAGCGCTCACGTGCGACACAGCAGATCAGGAGTTATCGGGAGTTACAGCAACGGCCCTGTTACCAACGAACTCTCTGTAATCCCAGCCCAAGTAGGCGCTCGCAGTCCCTCCACATCGTGGCATTGTGTTCACTGCACATTTGAGAACCACACAGCGTCCGTGGCATGTGAGATGTGTCAGACGTCGCGGAGTGTCTCTTCATCAGCGTCGCCAGTCGCCCCTGGGACCCCAGTGTCGTCTCCTGCGCCCCTTGACGTGCCCCCTAGAGTGCAGACTATGAGACAAGAGAGTGAACTGATGGAGGATCTGCGTCATATAGAGGAGCGAGAGGCATTGGAGAAATGGAAGAGGATCGTGCAGTTCTGCAAAGAGGTTTGTCACTTTTATTCTCCCCACTTAAACTTTCTTACTTCTAATGCATTTTATGCTTCATACTTTGATATAGCAATTTATATATCTTGGAATATATTTTAAGCATTAAAGAGGCATTATATTACCAAGCTGTAGGTTCAAAGTATCAGTACCTAAAAGTTCCAATCTCAATCTTCTTTGGTATCAAAGTCGTTAAACTTCTTAACTTCTTCCTGGTAACTGGTGCGCATGCAAAAGCCCAACAAGTCTAAAGAGTAAGACCTTTCCAGAAAGATTTTTCCAACAAACCTTGTTTCCCTTGCTTAATTTTCTTGCTTGTTGGACTTCTCGTACTCTGTAAAGAAGTTTTATAATTTTAGAAGACTTTTGTAATGTGTACAACTTGTCTTTGAAATTCCATGTTGAGTTTAATAGTTTGATAAATGATTTTGATTCAGAACAACGAGCCGTTTGTAGACGACTCGTTCCCTCCAGCGCCCAAGTCTCTGTACTACAACCCCGGGGACAGCAAAGACCAGAACCACGTGGTGCAGTGGTTACGACCTCACCAGATCAACACGGAAGGCGACTCTAAACTGAAGTGGGCCATCTTTCGCACACCACTGCCATCAGACATCTCACAAGGTGAATAAATATTATCTATAGAGATTGTACTTATTTTGGATTGTTGACAAAGCTTGATAACTACAGGCCAATCTTCCGACATATGTGGCATCCCCAGGATGTCAGAATAAAAGAATTCGGTATTACCAAGAATATAATGCCCTTATGACCATGATATGTAAAGTAAAAGAGAGATTTGCAGATAACAGAAGATATGACTAATTTTAACAAATTTGTATTGTGAGACTATTCCATACTTTTTTCTGCAGGTGTTCTCGGCAACTGCTGGCTTCTTAGTGCGCTAGCTGTGCTGGCAGAAAGAGAAGACCTTGTCAAGAAAGTGATGGTGATGAGGGACTATTGTCACCAAGGGGCGTACCAAGTACGACTGTGCAAGGACGGAGTGTGGACCACGGTGTTGGTGGATGATCTGCTACCTTGTGACAAGAGAGGACATCTCGTGTACTCTCAGGTGAGTTGTGGTAAAGTACAGCATCTGACAAGCCATTGGAACCCAATATTTGGTAACATCTGTTACTATTGTAACTACAGGTCTGCGGAACAGACTTTAATACTTTGAGTTGGGTCAAAGATTTCGGTCCTTAGGTCTTGGGTCAAAATAGGGTTGTGTTGTTGATCATTTATTTATTAAAATATTAATTGGCATACTGCAATTGGTTTATACAATACTTTACTTGATCTCCCCCTATGTGGTAAAATTTTCAAAATCTTCTTTGGTTACGACTAAATCATGTACGTCTTCCATGGTTACGTAGACATCCTCTGTGGTTTAGTGAAATCCTGACAACTTCTGCGGGCACAATTAAATTTAGAAAATTGTGTGCAGTCCCGCTAATATTGAGTATGTCTTATGCGGATCGGGCGAAATCATGAACGTCTTCCCCAGCTACGGCCCCCAGCTACGGCAAAATGGAGAACATCTTCCACGGCCATACAAAACATTGGAGCAAATTTGTCAATTTTTTATCACACTCCTAAATGCTTACTGGGATTGCAACAGAGTAAGATCTAGCCTGGCAAGGTTGACCCGATCCGAGCTCGGCCCAAAATTTATTCAGCGTCCGTTGCATGAAGTGGTAGTGTAGTGTGGTGGTAGTGTGGTGGAAGTGGTATTATTGATTCCAAAATTTGAAAAAGGAAGAATGCCACATCCTAAAGACAATGATGGTAAAAGTGCATTTTCTTGTGTCCTGTTCTTATTGAAGAGGTAGTAAATCACCAAATAATCCTAGCTAACCTTTTATCCATCAACAAAAGTATGAAATTTAATGAACATCTAACCCATCAGTTCCTATTATAACGGTTTAATCTATATCTATAAAAGAGGAACTATGTATGTATGTATGTATGTGTGTGTGTATATACGTTATGGACTCCGAAACCGCTCGACAGATTGTAATGAAACTTTCAGTCATTATTAAGCATCTTTCAAGGATGGTTCGAGTGAAGTTTGGTGCAGATCCGTCAAAATGGCTCTGCCCCAGAGGGTTTTAAGTGGGCCAATGTCAGACTTTTTGATCTACAATGTTTACAAATAAATATAATTTAAAAGCAGATGTTTACTTTCACCAACTGTTTTGTAGGTTTGAATAATCACAACATTCTGTATTAGCATTAGTCATGATTTGAAATAGTGCCACAGTGTTTCTACAGATTGCAGCACAGAAAACTATTTTACTTTTAAATAAGTCCCAATGTATTAAACCCCAATCGCAGCACATCTGTGCACTTAACAACGTTTAAATTCTCCAATGTTAAATATTATAACATAAAAACCTTTATCAAAGTACTGTATTATAAACAATAAAAGGGATGACTTTTTAAAATTTATGACAACAGCTATTTCCAACCAAAAGGTGAGTGAGCGTAGCGAACGAACATCAACCTGGAGGCGAGTAAGCGTAGCGAACGAGCTAACCTGAAAACAAGTGAGCGCAGCGAACGATTAACAACCTGAAGGTGAGTGAGCGTAGCGAACAAATTTAAACTATAATAATTGTTTTCAAATTCTAGGCTTGAGTTGGAATTGCTTTGTTTTCAGGCCAAAAGGAAGCAGTTATGGGTGCCTTTAATAGAGAAAGCTGTTGCCAAAATACATGGTTGTTATGAAGCGCTGGTCTCCGGAAGAGCTATTGAAGGCTTGGCCACGTTGACAGGTAAAATTAAAACTTCTTAAATATGTTCAAACTGTAATATGTTATTTGTAGAAGGTATTCAACTATATAGTATATTTATAGTATTTAGACTTCACTTATTGGAAATAAAATCATCCAGATTGCCTATTATCATGCACACGTCAAGGGGGAAAAGTAAAGGAAACTAAGTTTATTATTTCGGACCCAACTGTCTTTTGTCGCTGCCATGGTTAGTAAAATTCTTACTGTTGTTGAATTAACAATTGTAGCAAATATTTCATCATAGTCTTTTTCAAATTTCTATGAGTAACCCTTTGGCTACTAGACGTGCCCTATAGCGCTCAACCATACCGTCATATCCATACTTGGCTTTAACTACTCATTTACTTCCAACTGCCTTTTTCTGTGGAGGTAAATCTACAAGTTCCCATGTATCATTTTTTAATAAAGCTTCCATTTATTTTAATTTGTCCACCACGTCAAAAAATATATTCATGTAATCTCTGACATCACAATCAGGTGTAAGTTTTGCCAAAATCAACTTCTATAACAAGGTATTCTTGCTAGTCCACTCGAAGCCCACTTAAATTTTTCCCATATCTCTGCTCAAGTGTTACATCCTTTCTGTTCAATCTCCTAACAGACTGTTTGTAAATTAACATATGATTGAATTTATATTTGTAAAAACACAAACAAAAACAGTAGGTATTGTATTTTTTAAAGTTTTACAAGCAAGTCATAAGTTAAATAAAGTTTCATTTTTTTTATATGATTTCATGCAGTTTTCTAATACAAACAATGTTGGACACTCGACATTGTACATTTTGGTCCTTCACCCCGCGATAAAACCACGACCTTAAGGTAAATTTAAATTACTTACAAACTTTGCAATATTTATTCAGTTGTACATTCATTCAAGTTTTATTGAACATTAACAAGCCATGCCAAAGCAAGATCAGTTACAACAATTAGTGAAAGCTAGAAGTAATATTAAGGCTAAACTTACAAGATGTAAAAACTTTTTTGATAAATGTTTAGGAAGTCAGCATGTAAAGGAATTACAACTTAGGCTACAAAAGGTAGAAGGAAGTTGGGTAGAATTTGAAAATGTGCAATCTAAGATTGAAGATATTGATTCAGATTCAGAATTGGATCATGAAGCTGAAAGGGATGAGTTTGAACAGCAATATTTTGTGCTTTGTGCAGAAATAGCTAACTTTATTGAACAACACACGTGTCCACCACCACAAAATGACGTAGTTGTTGTTAATCACAATTCTAATTCAAATAACAGTACACAGTCCTCAGACTCGTCCATTTCAGTTCGACTACCAACCATAAATCTACCAAGCTTTTCTGGGAAGTTTGATGAATGGATGCCCTTCTTTGATTCCTTTTCAGCATTAATTGACAAAAATGAAAGTTTAAATGATGTCCAAAAGTTGCATTACCTAAAAGCTGCACTCACTGGTGATGCAGCTAATGTAATAAAGAACTTAGAGCTATTAGCTTCTAACTACAACGTAGCTTTAAGCTTACTTAAAGATCAGTTCCAAAACATTAGGCTTATCGTTCAGCAACATGTAAGATCACTCTTTGAGCTTTCTCTCGTACAAAGGGACAACCCAACAAGCTTAAGGCACCTACTAAATAGCACTCTAACTCACATCAGGGCTTTAGAAGGGTTACAGATAAAGATTAATGAAAATGATCCATTCATTGTCCATCTCATAACTACAAAGCTTGACACATCCACACATAAGGAGTGGGAACTTTCAACCCTACCAAATGAACTTCCTACTTTAAAGGAACTTACAGACTTTTTACAAAAAAGATGTCAAATGTTAGAAAACGTCAACCACAGCATTGTTCACACTAACTCAACGTCATTTCAACTCCATAACAAACCTGCCCATCCAAGACAACACTTGGCTCATCCTCATAAATCAAACACGAAAACATATGTTTCTGTCAAAGAATCCATCTGCCTCATATGCGATGGAAACCATCCTGTGTATCAATGCAGCGAACTTATTAAGGCTTCTCATGAAGAACGATTAAGCAAATTGACAGCAGCAAAACTCTGTTTTAATTGCTTAAAACCGGGCCATCGCGTAGAACATTGCAATTCTAGAGGATGTAAGCATTGTAATAAGAAACACAACACTGCACTTCATTACAACACATCAGACCCAAGGCTTAAATCATTACAACCAAAGAAAACTGCTACATTTAACAACAAGCAGGGAAGTAGTGATGACACATTAAATACCAGTACCACTACAACAAGTCTAAGTACTAATTTCCAAGGTGGAGAGGTTTTATTATCTACAGCATTGGTGGATGTTATAAGTCCGAGTGGAATTAAATACACGTGCAGGGCATTCTTAGACAACGGCAGCCAATCTAACTTCATGACAGAAAATCTCTGCCAAAGGTTAAAACTAAAGAAAGAAAATTCAAATGTATTAGTAACAGGTATTAACGAAGGAACAACTAAAACTACAAACAAGGTACAAGCAACATTTCAGTCAAGAAATTCTAATTACAAAGCAACTGCAACATTTTTGGTTCTTCCTAAAATAACAGGGTTACTTCCAACACACACTGTTAATACAAGTCAATGGGATATCCCTGGAAATATCACTTTGGCAGATCCCACATTCTGCAAACCATCTAAAGTTGATATTTTGTTAGGACAAGAGTTTTTCTTTGATCTATTGGAAGATGGAAGGATAAAGAATCAAAATTCACCAGTACTTCAGAACACAAAGCTCGGCTGGATAGTTGGAGGCAAAGTACACCATCAAAAGTCATCAACTGAAACGTCTTGTCATCTAACTACACTGGAAAGCCTTGATAAGAATATTCAAGCATTCTGGAAAATTGAAGAAGAACCTATAAAAAAGGCGACAATGACATCAGAAAATAAACTATGTGAAGAAATGTATGACAATTCAGTTCAAAGAGGCGATGATGGGCGCTACACTGTCAAAATGCCTCTGAAGCAAGATCCAAGTTCCCTAGGAGATTCCAAAGAATTAGCAATCAAACGATTTTATCAAGTTGAAAGACGATTAAAAAATAACAGTGAACTGCAAAAACAATACAAATCCTTCATGCACGAATATGAGGAACTTGGACACATGGAAAAGGTTACTGCAAATGAAACTGACAAACCAGTGTATTATTTACCCCACCATCCAGTTATTAAGGAATCCAGTTCAACAACTAAATTAAGAGTAGTTTTCGATGCTTCAGCAAAAACTACAACAGGGATATCTCTGAATGACTCGCTTATGGTTGGTCCGACTCTTCAAGATGATTTATTTTCTATCCTATTGAGATTCAGGATTCACACTTACGTTCTGACAGCAGACATAGAGAAGATGTATCGACAAATCTGGATCCATCCAAGTCAACGAGACATGCTAAGAATCCTTTGGAGAGAAGACAACTCAAAATCTGTCCTCATTTACAGGCTCAATACAGTTACGTATGGAACAGCATGTGCTCCTTACTTAGCAATCAAAACTATTCAACAATTGGCTCAAGATGAAAGATCACAATATCCACAAGCTTCCAATGTAGTGATGAAAGACTTTTATGTGGATGATGTATTGACAGGAACAGACGACATTAATGAAGCAAGGGTATTAAGAGATCAACTGGTCGGTATGTTAAAGTGTGGTGGCTTCAATTTGCGAAAGTTTAACAGCAACAGTAACGCACTTTTAGCAGAGCTTCCAGATGATATGGTGGAAAGAAAAGCACATAAACTTCCCAACTCTAATGATAGCACAATCAAGACCTTAGGCATTTTTTGGGATGCAGAATCTGACAAAATAAAGTACAAGTACATGTTATCAACAGACAATAAGGCAGCTTCTACAAGTGTAACAAAGCGAACTGTGCTCTCAGACATAGCAAAACTGTTTGATCCTTTAGGAATCATTTCTCCAATTATAATAAATGCTAAAATACTCATGCAAGACCTGTGGAAACAAAATATGAAATGGGACGATGTACTCCCAGAACAATTACACAAGAGATGGCTACAATTCAAACAGGATTTAACTTTGCTCAGCAATTTTAATGTATCAAGATGTGTAAGAATGATCCAAACAGAGGGAACTTTTGAACTTCATGGTTTTTCAGATGCTTCTGAAAAGGCATATGGAGCAGCAATTTACTTGAGACACGAACTAAGCGATGGAACTGCTAAACTACTCTTCTCTGTTCAAAATCTCGTGTAACACCACTGAAAACACAGTCACTTCCAAGATTGGAATTATGTGGAGCTCTACTCCTAACTGAGTTAATGTCAAATGTCAAAACCGCTCTTATCAACAAACATATTGAAAGGGTTACATACTGGACGGACTCTACAATTGTTTTATCCTGGTTAAATGCAGAAGCAGCATGCTGGAAAACATTCATTGCAAATCGTATTGCAAAGATCCAGGATCTAAGTGATTATAAAGATTGGAGACATGTGCCAAGTCAAGACAACCCCGCAGATCTCGTATCCAGAGGTTTAACAGTCGACGAAATCATAAGATCTGATTTGTGGAATTCAGGGCCATATTGGTTATCGTTAGAACCTTGCAACTGGCCAATTACTTCCATAACACCTTCAACTGACATTCCAGAAAGAAGAAAGTCCACAGTTTCTGCTGCAATAGTTCAATCAAATGAAAAACAAACAGATAATGACTATGTACTGAAGAAGTTTTCCAAGTTACAGAAACTGATTCGTGTCACCGCATATTGTTTGAGATTTATAAAAAATTGTAAAACTCAAGATTCAAAGATTGCAGGACCTCTAACACACGATGAATTAAACCACAGTCTTAAGCATTGGATAAAACATGAACAGAAACGTTTCTTTCCTCAAGAACTACAATCATTGTCAAACTCAAAACAAATTCACAAGAAAAGCAAACTAATAACACTTCATCCATTTAAGGATGATGAAGGAATCATTCGAGTAGGCGGTCGACTAGTCAACGCAAAGTTAGATCAAAGTCAAAAACACCAAATTGTATTGCCTGCTAAATCCTATTTCACTCATTTAATAATTGAAAATGAACATATTCGCAATCTCCATGTGGGTCCTCAAACACTTCTATACATCATAAGACAACAATATTGGCCACTAAATGCCAAGAACATTATAAGGAAAATCATCCATAAGTGCATACCATGTTTTAAAACAAAGCCGAAATGCACACAACCTGAAATGGGAAACTTACCTGCACATCGAACGAATCCATCACAGCCTTTTGAGATTACAGGAGTTGATTATTGCGGACCGATATATTTACGGTCAAACCGCCTTCGAAAGTTTTCATTAATTAAGGGCTACATTGCAGTCTTTGTTTGCTTTACCACAAAGGCTATTCATTTGGAATTAGTATCCAACTTAACAACTGACGGCTTTTTAGCAGCATTCAAGCGCTTTACATCTCGAAGAGGCTTATGTAACCACATATATTCCGATAACGGAACAAACTTTGTTGGAGCCAATAACGAAATAAAGGAACTTTACTCCCTTCTTAAAAGTAATGATCATCAAGAACAAATCATAAATGCTACATCTTTTCAAGGCATCAAATGGCATTTCTCGCCTCCAAATTCACCCCATTTTGGAGGGCTTTGGGAATCCGCAGTTAAGTCCGTAAAGCAGCATTTAAGGAAGGTTGTGGGAAACGCCAATCTCACATTTGAAGACATGTATACTGTGCTTACAATGATAGAGGCGTGCCTGAATTCAAGACCTATAACTCCTCTGTCATATGATCCTAAAGATCCCCTTCCTCTAACACCTGGTCACTTCTTAATTGGGAAAGCACTCACAAGTTTACCAGATCCAGATTATACATTTAAGCCAGAAAATCGTCTATCACAGTGGCAACGATTACAACAGCTTATGCAACACTTCTGGCGCCGTTGGTCAAAGGAATACCTCTCTCAATTACAACAAAGGCAAAAGTGGTTCACGACTGCCAATAATATCAAACCTGGTCAACTAGTCATAATCAAAGATGACAATCTACCACCTTTAAAATGGATTACTGCTATTGTTGAAGATGTGCATCCTGGACTTGATGGAAAAACTAGAGTGGCTACAGTGCGAACCTCTACAGGAACATTCAAGAGATCTGTAAATCGCCTGTGTGTATTACCAATTGAAAATTGAAAAGGCCAAAGACAATCGATAAGACATTTTTTGTAAATAGTTTATTTTTTGTATTTTGTTGAAAGTGGTACTTTCAAGGTGGGCGGCATGTTCAATCTCCTAACAGACTGTTTGTAAATTAACATATGATTGAATTTATATTTGTAAAAACACAAACAAAAACAGTAGGTATTGTATTTTTTAAAGTTTTACAAGCAAGTCATAAGTTAAATAAAGTTTCATTTTTTTTATATGATTTCATGCAGTTTTCTAATACAAACAATGTTGGACACTCGACATTGTACACTTTCACTTGCTTTAACGCTTGGGCTGATAGAGATGATTATATCCGCCTTTGCCTTTGCATCATAAACTAGCCAAACAGTAGTTTTTTGGCCTTCTTCTTGAGGCCTTTAATGGTTCCCAACACATATCCAAGTAAAATTGCTTCCATCTGCATTTTCCACGTGATCAATGTGATTACTCATATTTCTTTCCATATTCCTAACTTAATTGAGTCTCAAAATCTATTAAAATTAAAACTAAACCATCTAACTGTCATGTAGGTGCCCCGTGTGAAAGTGTGCCACTACAGCCGAGCTCACTGCCATCAGAAGATGAGCTTGACAAGGACCTGATCTGGGCCCAACTGTTGAGCTCCAGACTGGCCAGGTTCCTGATGGGGGCTTCGTGTGGCGGGGGCAACATGAAGGTGGACGAAGATGAGTATCAGCGGCGGGGACTGCGACCCAGGTCAGGCAATTGTTACTTTTAGGTTTGAATTAGTGTTAATCAGGTTAAGTTCCTTCATGTTGAGTGTGAGGGGCGGGAATTCTCGTCCTGCCGTACCGGCACCACTGGTGCAGGGCGGGAAATGTCGTCCTTGCATTTAACAACAACCTTGCTTCAGTGTGAGCTCAGCCTTGCACAGGAACATTGTTTCCAAATGCCGCTGTGTCTTTTACTTCAATCCAGTTTAATTCGTTTTCAGATACAAATATTTTATCGGTGGAAGGGATTGTTTCAAATTTAGTGTAGTGTGGGGTTTTGGCTTTTAGTAAAAAAGGAATTGAATAATGATAATAATTGCTGCAATGAAGCATTGTGGAAGGAACTTAACCTCAAAGTTTTGCTTGACGCCTTTTTGTCATATTTTTTATGGTATATCCGGATTTTTTGTCCTTGCTTTTTCCCTCTATTTGGCAATACTGAGAGCCTACTGTTTAGTTCTGCTATCTGTTGGGTTCTTGTAAAAATACGTCCATAACGACTGAAACACAGTACATGTTTTAATATGCCTCTCCTATTGGATGAAACTAAATTTAAACATTTTTGCACACTCATCTACACAACCCATTGGCTGCTCCCGCAACCGGCCGCGGCTGGCCATCGCATGTCCGCAGCGAACTATTAATTGGTTTTTCTGGGTTAGTAAAGACAACTGTTCTCTGATACTAAAGGTCAATAAGACTACGAATCAGCATTCTTTTCATCATTTCTGGAATTGGATGAGGAGGAAATTAGAAAACCGTGGAAATATCCTCAGACTTAGCCAGTTCATCACGATTCAGCCAAAATCCTCTAGAGGTTCCTGCAGTGATTTGGTTATCTACTCATGGTTAACCTCGGATCTGTCTAATATATACTTTTTGTAATTTTACTCCACCAAATAGAAGAGATTAATCTTAAGTAGTTGATTGTTTGCAAAGTGTTTACCAAAATATGGCACTTTAAACCTTGCATTAGTCAACAAGGTGTTTTACCTGACAAGTCCTTCTGGTGGAGTTCCTGGGCAAGTAACAAATCTGAAACATGTTTTAATACCTAGAAATAGCCCCTTTGACACTATTACATCTGTATTTTCACTACCTCCATAATCCAGCATTTTCAGTAAATCAGTAAAATGTCGTAATTATTGATGAATTGTGAGTCTCTGCTGTAATTAGAAAATGTAGCATATGTATTTTCAACAGATGCTTGCCTTGAAGTTTCTACATATGTTTGTACTCTTGTACAAGATGTTACGGATGTGGATGTTGCTAATGCAACTTGTTTTGTTCACTCTGGCATAGTAAACTATTTGAGTTGATGTAATGTCTGCAGGCATGCCTACTCGGTGTTGGACGTGAGAGATCTGAACGGCATCAGATTGGTAAGACTGAGGAACCCCTGGGGACACTACAGCTGGCGAGGAGACTGGTCGGACGACTCCGACATATGGACGCCTCAGCTGAGAGAACTGCTCATGCCCCACGGTGCGTCTGACGGGGTCTTCTGGATATCGTTCGAGGACGTGCTCAAGTAAGAACATCTGAGTGTCTTGAAAAAATTTTCAATCGGTTTAAAATATTTTATGGTGTGTCCTGGATATCTTTCGAGGATGTGGTAAAATAAGAACAACTGAGCGTCTCAAAACCATTCTATTTCTTTTCAATCAGTTAAAAATATTGATTTTTCTTTTAGCACACTGTGCATATCACTGATTTGGAACGATTGGTGGTGTCAATAGTGTCAGTTTAAATATTTCCGTTTCCTTCTCTGCTACAATAGATTACAGGGCTTTTCAGGAATGATCCATATTTTAAGAGTACTTCTACTGTTCTCTTGATGAATATATTTTCAGAGACCAGGTGTTCTTGTACCATGAAGTACTATCCTTGATTATATTCCTGCGGTGCCGTGTTGCAATAAACAATTTCTTGCAAAGTTTCATAAAGAACCTTCTAATGTTTTTTTTTTTACTTCAACTATACCCCTTTTTTGTGTTTTATTAGGTGACTGTTTTATGTTCTTGGTCCAGGGTATAAATCCTGGTCTTGTCACTGTCCTTGATCGTTTGTTAGCTATCATTAATTGATAGCTACATGACAAAATTACATTTGATCTAGGAAGTAGGAACGTTCAGATTTGATGTCAATCACTCTACCCTAAAACTCATGTATCCAAAACAGTTGTATGGCTGCTATAAGCTATCCCTGTGTTCCAGGTACTTTGACTGTATAGACATCTGCAAGGTGCGATGGTCAGGCTGGAACGAGGTGAGGCTACGAGGTACGCTGCCTCCCCTCGCCTCTCTAGAACATCTGTCCTGTGTGCTACTGACGGTGCTGGAGCCCACTGAGGCAGAGTTCACACTCTTTCAGGAGGGACAGAGGTAAGTAAGGTTGGAATTGGAATAATAGTTGGTGAGAATTTGTAAATGCAGGATAATAATTAATTCGGTGCAGGTGCTAGCGTGCTAGGTCTCCTGGATATCTAGACAATATTTTAGTTCCTCTTTACGAGCAGTACTTAATGGAACACTGTGTAGATGACTCTTGAATGGAAAGCTGTATACAGGAAAGCTACTGAGCAAACTTCGAACTCTTCCGCCTATTTAAATTGGCCTTCTGCTTTGATTTTGAAATATCAAGAGAATCTCCATGGACTGAGCTTCAATTTTGAATGATCAAAAGCTTTAATTTATTGAATGTTTGAGTAAAGCTAGGTTTTCCTAGGCGCGGAAGCGGAGAGAGGAACGCGGAGAGCGGAAAAAAGATTAACATGGTGTTCTACTCCGCTTCTAGGAAAACAGTAACATTAAATTATCTAAGACAAGTGGAGTCCGCTCTCCGCGTTCCTCTCTCCGCTTCCGCGCCTAGGAAAACCCAGCTTTAGGCTGCAATCGTGGATGTTGATTCATGTAGTATTTGTATCGCAGGAACAGTGAGAAGTCGCAAAGGTCGCAGCTGGACCTGTGTGTAGTGGTGTTCCGCACAAGGTCCCCGGCCAGTCCCGAGGTAGGACGTCTCGTCGAGCACAGCAAACGACAAGTAAGAGGCTTCGTCGGGTGTCACAAGATGCTGGAGAGGGATCTGTACATCCTCGTCTGTCTAGCCTTCAACCACTGGCATACTGGTATGTGTTAGTGTACCACTTGATTCCTGAATGAGGTTAAGGATGTATCATAGAGCACAAGGGCCTAGGTTTTTTTTGTGAGGATAGCAGGCTTACCTGCATGGTAAAAAGTCCAAACTAGTACAGAATACCAAAACTTTGCACTATATACACAAAACATAATAATATTTCACTGTCACTGACAGCATTTTCAACTAAAGAAGAGAGAGTTTTCTTTACTACACACAAAACAAAAAGAGAGACTGCTACACAACAAATATAGTCAGATCCCTGTCCCCTCAATATAACCAGTCACAACTGAGAAGTTGGGAATTATCTTACCAATGGTTTACAAAGTCTAGAGAACCCTCAAACCTAAACCTAAGATAACACCTTAGAACTGAATGTGACTCTCAATGTTGAGAAAGAAGCCTGTGGCCTCAAAATTCGCCAGTGTTTCTTTTGTATTTTCTTCTGTGTTACTTTAGTGAAGTGGGATGCCTACATTTGTAAAGGTAAGCCTGCTAAGTACTTGGAATTCGTGTAAACTCATGGAAAAGCTGATGTATTGTGATGAAGATTCATCACAGTCAAATCCCAAAAACTCCTCCTCTTCATTTGATTCCCAACCTTTAAGTTTATTATGTAAAAGATTGTTATGGCTGGAGATTTAAGTTAACTGAGCATGTGCACTAGGGAACTGTTGGTACTTTAAAATCCCCTTTTTGACTTGCCTATCAGTGCTCTTGAGAACATTTTTTTCCACCCCAGGCTGGAGATATTCTGACTAAGTTAACTGAGTGTGTTTTCTGGCTAGTGTTTAGGAACTTATTTATCAGGCCACATAGACTTATGATTAAAGGTATAGAGGACCCAGCCAACTACCCTCAGTATGTGTTGGCCATCCACAGCTCCAAGAGACTACTATAGTTCGGCCGCTTAGAAAACGACCTGCGCGCTAATGCTAAACCAATGCTGGAGGAGGTCGTTTTCTAAGCGGCCGACCTATAGTGAAGAAGGTGTCTCCTCCTGCCTTCATGTTGGCTGATGTTATAAAGACTTGTGATTGCAGGTATAGAGGACCCAGCCAACTACCCTCAGTATGTGTGGCCATCCAGAGCTCCAAGAGACTACTAGTGAAGCAGGTGTCTCCTCCTGCCTTCATGTTGGCTGATGTTATAAAGACTTGTGATTGCAGGTATAGAGGACCCAGCCAACTACCCTCAGTATGTGTTGGCCATCCATAGCTCCAAGAGCCTACTAGTGGAGCAGGTGTCTCCTCCTGCCTTCATGTTGGCAGATGTTATAAAGACTTGTGATTGCAGGTATAGAGGACCCAGCCAACTACCCTCAGTATGTGTTGGCCATCCACAGCTCCAAGAGACTACTAGTGGAGCAGGTGTCTCCTCCTGCCTTCATGTTGGCAGATGTTATAAAGACTTGTGATTGCAGGTATAGAGGACCCAGCCAACTACCCTCTGTATGTGTTGGCCATCCATAGCTCCAAGAGACTACTAGTGGAGCAGGTGTCTCCTCCTGCCTTCATGTTGGCTGATGTTATAAAGACTTGTGATTGCAGGTATAGAAGACCCAGCCAACTACCCTCAGTATGTGTTGGCCATCCACAGCTCCAAGAGACTACTAGTGGAGCAGGTGTCTCCTCCTGCCTTCATGTTGGCAGATGTTATAAAGACTTGTGATTGCAGGTATAGAGGACCCAGCCAACTACCCTCAGTATGTGTTGGCCATCCACAGCTCCAAGAGACTACTGGTGGAGCAGGTGTCTCCTCCTGCCTTCATATTGGCTGACGTTATAAAGACTTGTGATTGCAGGTATAGAGGACCCAGCCAACTACCCTCAGTATGTGTTGGCCATCCATAGCTCCAAGAGACTACTAGTGGAGCAGGTGTCTCCTCCTGCCTTCATGTTGGCTGATGTTATAAAGACTTGTGATTGCAGGTATAAAGACTTGTGATTGCAGGTATAGAGGACCCAGCCAACTACCCTCAGTATGTGTGGCCATCCAGAGCTCCAAGAGACTACTAGTGAAGCAGGTGTCTCCTCCTGCCTTCATGTTGGCAGATGTTATAAAGACTTGTGATTGCAGGTATAGAGGACCCAGCCAACTACCCTCAGTATGTGTTGGCCATCCACAGCTCCAAGAGACTACTGGTGGAGCAGGTGTCTCCTCCTGCCTTCATGTTGGCTGATGTTATAAAGACTTGTGATTGCAGGTATAGAGGACCCAGCCAACTATCCTCAGTATGTGTTGGCCATCCACAGCTCCAAGAGGCTACTAGTGGAGCAGGTGTCTCCTCCTGCCTTCATGTTGGCTGATGTTATAAAGACTTGTAATTGCAGGTATAGAGGACCCAGCCAACTATCCTCAGTATGTGTTGGCCATCCACAGCTCCAAGAGACTGCTAGTGGAGCAGGTGTCTCCGCCCGCCTTCATGTTAGCTGATGCTATCATCAGTCTCACACTGGCTAAGGGTCAGCGGCATGAGGTAGATACACTGGCTTCATCATTAGACATCACCTTCCAATCTCATATTTGTTTTTTATGTGAAAAGACATTTATTTGAGAATGAGGTTGATTGAAAAGTTTGTTAAGTATATTTTTATTCGTCAAAGGCTTGAGAAAGGTTAAGAAAGGTAGTACATGTCCAGCCCATCTCATCCTCCTGCTTCTTGCCTCGTCTACAATGTCCATTTCAAAATACGACTTTTTAATTCTCTATTCTCTATCTTTAAAGAATGGTCCATAAATTTTCACAATTTGGTCCATATTCCTCACTTACTACTAGACAATTTATGTTTTTTTCCTTGCTACCCACATTACTAAGAGTTATATAACTATAATAAACGGGGATGGCGGCTAGCTTTCCTTGGAAGAAATACAACTAGGCTTGAGAACAAACAGATAACATAAAACACACAATATTTCGTCCCTAATGGGGACTTTGTTATGTGTAGAGAAAGAAAGTTCACACTAGTTGTTGTCACCTTTGTCGTGTAGAGGGAGTTCACAAAATGGCTGTTGCCACCCGTGCAGTGAAGCCACTTTTCACTCCAGCTAAAAAAAGACCTCTTCAAGGAACCTCCCCATCTTGTGAGGCAACTGCCAAACATGAAAAGGGTGTAGCATAGAGCACAAGGGGCTAGATTTTTAGGATTTTTTGAGAGGATAGCAGGCTTACCTGAATGGGAAAGAGTCCAAACTGGCACAGGAAACACAAAACTTTACACTATATACACAAAACATTAGAATATTTCACTGTCACTGACAGCATTTTCAACGAAGGAAGAGAGAGTTTTCTAGATGTCCAAAATGATGGCCAGTGAGTTTGTTGAGTCAGTGTTGCCAATAGTATGAATTCAAAAAGCAGTTTCAGTTTATCTTATATGCAATGATATTATTCATATTCATATATAAATAGTGCATATAAGATAAACTGAAACTGTGTTTTTTGAATTCATACTATTGGCAACACTGACTCAACAACTCACTGGCCACCATTTTGGACATCTAGAAAACTCTCTCTTCCTTCGTTGAAAATGCTGTCAGTGACAGTGAAATATTCTAATGTTTTGTGTATATAGTGTAAAGTTTTGTGTTTCCTGTGCCAGTTTGGACTCTTTCCCATTCAGGTAAGCCTGCTATTCTCTCAAAAAATGCCAAACATGAAAAATATGCTTATCCGTCCCAAACTACCCGATCCCTCCTCTACCAGAACAACTCCTCCAACAAGGCTCAATTACATGTAACAGCAACAGCCTGTAATATTCTCAAACAACCTTCAATATTGGTCCCAACACCATTAGCTAATCGAGAGTGTACTGTAACAGATATCGGTTTTTTTGCTTTATGAGACTTTTTATCATAATTATTGGTTGCACGCTGAGACATTTTTGGCTAAATTTATTCTTTGTTGTATTCTTTTTGTCTTTTGGAAGTATAAAACGTGTGGAATGTTGATTGTATTTGTTTTCCAGGGCAGAGAAGGCATGACGGCCTACTACTTGACTAAGGGTTGGGCTGGGTTGGTGGTCATGGTGGAGAATAGACACGAGAACAAGTGGATCCATGTGAAATGTGACTGTCAGGAGAGTTACAATGTGGTGTCCACCAGGGGACAGTTGAGGACGGTCGACTCTGTACCTCCCTTGCACAGGTAGGTGCAGTATAATTTTGCATTAGTCGATATACATTCAAATTTTTGTTATCTTTTCTGGAACATTGAGATGTAGTGCTCGGGGAAGTTAATTTTCTTTTTACTTTTAATACTGTTCAATGAAATGGTGACCATACATAGTAGGTATTTTAAGCCAAGTATGAATGGAGATGAGTGTAGGATGAGTGGCGCGATCTTGTAGTCTTGTTAGTGACTAAGGGTGACAATGGCAACTAAGGGATCTACAGTTTATAGTGGAATCCGAACCACATTTTTTCCTTGATATATACAAATTGGTCTAATTATCAGGATAGTACTGCGGTTAGTCGTAGTACTCACTCGTGCGGACGTTAATCCACACCAGGGAGTATCGCATCCACAGTGCATGACTATAAATATCCACAATTTGTCACCTCGTAGTAGCTGGATTACAGGACGACGCCACCCGTCCCAGTTTTTAATCTTTAATCCCCCTGGGTTATGAAATCTTTCACCTTATCACTTCATACAGCAATGCACCTTTTGCAGATTAATGTGAATACAGGGTGTAAAATGGAGTGAACGTTTTGGATAGCCTTTTTATTGACCAAGATCATAATATGTTCCTCTAGCATGTCCATTTATCAAAAATCTAATGGTCTAGGACATTTTGGTCCAGTTTCAAACCATCAAAAAGCTACTGGCCTTTATTGAGATCCATGAGTTTCTTTTCATAAAAATTAAACTTGTAACTCAGCTAAACTTTGATATTTTAAGATTAACATTATAACTACTCACCTAAAGTGTGTTCTCATTGAAATATTTGTATGATTTTCTATTTGAAAACACTACAGTCATATCATGTTTCTTAGCAACAATATTTTTACATTTTTCCACTTACGTTAGAATCTATTCTGTAATCTGTCCTACTTTTGTTCAAAATCTTAAAATGAGTCAACAAATTAAAGTTAAATCGCAGAAAGAAAATAATAAACCACATGCGGGTAAAAATCAAATTCTAAAAGAAATCAACAGGATTGCTAGCAAACAGGTGGCTGCTTACGGGAATTACCCTCAAAAGGTTTTCGTCAGGAAAAGTCTTCCAGATGTTAAACAAGAGATTAAAAGAACCTCTTCCAGTAAAGCTTTTAGGAGTCAGGCATCTCAGACCACCATTGCAGGTCCGAACGACTACGAAGGAATCATTCGCTATCCAAGTAATCGAATAGTGAACGCAAAACCTAAAAGAGAGGTTGGACTTCAAGTGTCCAACGCACAAACCTCTCCTAGAGGTGATGACATCAACAGCATCGTGGCGCTTGCGTCAAACTGTCGTGCTCCAGTAGACCACGTCAAACTGAACCAGACGCCCATCATTAAGGCAAGGCTGACTCCAGCGAAGAAACTGGCCAAACTAGACCCGACAAGAGCCCCACCCTCGTACCAGAGGGGCGTACTACCCAAGTACCTGCGGAAGATGAGGGAAGAGGACTCGGATAAGCCGAAGGTAGGAGAAGAGGAGAAACCAAAGGTGAAGAGAAACTCAGATACAGTTGGTTTCTCCGTTAAGGATACGGATGAAGAAGAAAGATTGCAGAAGACAAAACAGATTTCCCAGTGGCACGAGAGTTATAAGAGTATGGTATCTGAGTTGACAATGTTGTCTGCCTTGTGAATTGTTAGAATATAAATTTGAATACTCATTATGTTTTATTTTTTATTTTAGATAAACTGTGAGGTCAGGATTGTGATTTTTAGAATTAATGGATATCATTTAAAAAGGTTAGTTTTGTTCAAGAAAAGACTCGAGACTAGGATTTTGAATTGTGGGATAAAGGGGATAGCGGAAAGCCTACCTTGAAAAAGTAGAGGTAGGCTGTAGATCATGCAGAAGAAAAACTGAACATTTAGGCCATAGAACATACTAAAGAGATAGTGAACACACAATATTTTGTTCCATGGAGGACTTTGTCAGGTGAGGAGAGTTTACAAAAAATTATACTCATAGAGAGAAGGGAGTTTTTGTAAACTATCACTTTCTCTTCACTTGACAAAGTTTGCCACAGAACAAAATATTATGTGTTCACTGTCTCTTCTGTATGTTCTATGGAATAATCTTTTAAAAAGTCCAATTAATTATGAAAAGGAACATACAGAAGAGTATAACAATATTTCGTCCCCTGAGAGACTTTCTCAATTGTACACAAAGAGAGACAACACCCTTACTAAGTGTTGAGACTAAGGTGTGCGTAATTGACAAAAGTGTGATGACACAAATTATCAAAGAAAATGGACCAGTTAAGAAACTATATTGTAAAACCCCTTGAGCCGCATTCAGTTGAACCGAAACCTGTGTTAAATGAAACAAAAGTTAAAATCAATTGGAAAGTATGCTACGCAACTGGGATTGTCTGCCGTGTTGTGAGTTGTACTGTTGGTCTGGTTTGGCCAAGAGAATGTAAAAGAACTGGAGACAACATGGGTCATATACCCTGATAAAAAAAATATCAGACTTTGATCAATTATTTAAACTGTCGGTTATTTAAAGAACACGTTCGCTGCTGATGACTCCGATTAGAGTTACGCCATACTGGCACAGGGCTTGTATGACTCCGGTCGGAGTCGCGGTACATCTTTTATCAACGTTTATCAACTGAACTATGTCAGCCTGTTGTTGGGCTGGTTCCATACTTCATTTAGGTTGCATCTGTTTTCGGGTCATTCCACTAGTGCCCTTATGCACCCAGTGTGAGCCTTGCTGCATTTTTGGGTCGCCTTGTTAAGGCTCTTCAGCGGTGAAGGTGTTAACCGAAAAAATGGGTTATCCAAATTGGACTCACTCCCTTTGTCGGTTAATCAGACTTTTACGATATATTGTAATTTTTTTAATGTCTGCTGAATAAGTCAAGTCCTGTTGATTACCACAATTAATTGAAATATCGCAAAACCGATCTAAATGTTATGTTGTAGGCAAGTGATCATAGTGCTGACTCAACTAGAGGGCAGCGGGGGCTTCTCCATAGCTCATCGACTGACACACAGGCTAGCCAACAGCGGGGGACTGCATGACTGGGGGCCCCCCGGCAGCTCACATTGCCCCGTCATAGACAGACAGGTGGAGGGCCTACACTCACCCCGCCTCATCACGTAACACTGGTACAGTATGTAGCATCAAGTGAATATGTGATTACACATACTTTTACTATTAGCTGATAATAACGAACGACAATCAGCAATGATCAGCCAACTACAATGATTTAGTAAAATTAAAATATCCTCTTAAATTTTGCTCAGTGGGTGATTTGACTGGGAGACTTTCCTCTGAAAATTCCTGTGGGTCTTGGGTCCTGGGGGTTTAAAACATCTTTTGTACAACTAAATCTACAGTTCTACTGGACCGATTTTATTATTAAAGGGACGTCGTAAATGCTCACTTCCTAAACATGTTTTGTTTTCTATAAGAAATACAGTACATTGGAAAAGGGGGTTTCACATTTTTTATTTGGAGAAAACTTTTGGCTGCCTTTATTGAGTATTTTCAAGAAACGCATATTAGTAATTTGTAACGAATTTCATTCTCTTTCGGAATATTACATTTCTTTGAACTAATATTGCGTATCTTCTGTAGTGTACCGTCATGTCACACAAAAATAGCAGACAATCTCACTTGTTCTTGATCATTTATAGGGAAGGATGTTGATATAACCATAATGTCAAATAATTGAAACACTACTGTAATGATGTTTTCTACCATATTTATGTTGTACCATGACACTAACTCATCCTCTCTATGTTGCAGGTCGCCTGTTTGAGCCACACCGGTGCCCAACTATCATGTGATATGTAAATACATCTTTTGTCGTATTTTAACAGTTTTGTAAGTCAAGTTGTGCCCCACTATAGCTAGCGACTCCGCACAACCCAATGGACGTTGGAAACGTACACCGCTGCTGCTCCGGTTTGTCACAGTTAGGATCTTCACACTCGTCTGTCCCAGAAATTTGAGCACAAGTTTTACAAGGGTTGGATAATAATTTTTGATATTTCACATCAAATTTGTAGGACAGTTTGTTATTTTTAACTTTGGTTTAGTAGCCTTCGGATTATCGATAAATAATAAAAATGGAGTATGAATCGGTGTCACCATCTTGCTGTCTTCTGTGGCAATCTTCAATTCTTTTGAATATGGTCTTCAACAGGAGATGATTATAATATGCAAAATGTCTAACACAGCCCCACACGTAACACCAATGGCACCAATTTAGCACCGAAACTAGTTTAATTTAATGGATTGCCCCAAACAGGGTCTTTTTCTCTCTAGGATGTAGCACAGAATTCTTTCCACATTACTTAAAGCTAGAGACGGCTGCGGCATTATCACCGAAATAAAATCAATTGGTGATTGGTGGGAACCCAGAACCTCCAGGAATGGAAGCCCTTGCAGTTTACCATAATGCCAGCTCCCTCCTCAAAGCATATTTCTTATTTTTTATCCTAGGACGCTAGACACGAGCCCAGAATTGTTTTTCACATTACTTTAGCTAGACCTAGGGGTTGCGGCATTATCACATGGATAAAATCCATTAGTGATTTGACGGGATTTGAACCCGGGACCTCTGGAACCGAAGTCCCGCTCTCTGCCCACTAGACCAGCTCGATCCCTCAACCTAAAAGCATAATAGGCCACATGTTTGATGAATAAATGCTGGTGCTTCTTAAGTCAACTTTGCACAAGTTAGGTGTATGTGTGTGACAGTTTTTGAAAAGTTGAAATAGTTCTGATAGTTAATTACCACAATGATTGTGGTAATAAGTAATAATTATTACAACATTGCTTAATGAAATGTAAAACTTGTGAGTTCAACATTTTTCATGCTGGTATTAAGTAGTATAAAAATACTTTAAAGTATTTTTGTCATTGTCTTTCAGTTCAACTGGGAATAGACGATTGTGAAGAACCATAATTTAGATCACATTGAATATTAGTCCTTATCACAAAAGTTTTCAAGATGTATAAAATCATCTCTAAACAATAAACTATCTTAAGACTTAATTTTATAAATATAGCATACTGTAAAGTTCATTGAAATCATAGATTACTCAAAAAACGGTTCTTTGTCGTATTTTATTAAATTAGTGTTTTAATTGATGATGTTTCTTTAAACAAACCGTTGTTGGTTCATTTAAAATCCATGGTTACCATTAAATGGAGCACAAAATAGCCATGATTTACGTTCTTGTACCATGATTTTTAGTGTTAAGAGTAGTTTTAGCTGTTTTCCTAATCTATGATATTTTAATTTTTACTGTGCCATTTTTTATTGGTTAGATATAATGTATACTACGCCTCATTTCACGCAGTTATGATTTTCTAACCACGTCATAATTTAAAGTGTAATGAAGTCAAAAGATCTCAAACGTATACTCCATGACTGAACTCTTTATCATCACAAACTGGCCTATATGTGAATCTTAAAAAGCGATTTACAATTGTATTGATACAAATGTTTTGTGTATTTTATATTTAGTGATGTATGTTTATTTTCACAATTTTGTATGCATTTTTAGAGATGTTCAGGTAATACTCATTTTACCCTATGTTATACGGGTTGAAATCTATTTGGATTGTTTATCGATTTTTTTATTGATTAGTCAATTTTATTGCTTAAGTGTTTATCAATCATCTGTTATTTAATGTCAGTAAAACGTTTAAAATTTAATCATTGGAGAAGAATAAGTAAATTAGTTTCCTGACTACGCCCATCTTTTGAAATCATGTATACGGATGTAAGTTTTTTTTTTACAGTGACTATAAAATAATTTGAAAACAGCATTAATTATTGAGATCAGCTGTGTAAAAAAATATCACATTGTTTAATCGTTTTACCACATCAAATGTGGTCCGTATTTAATGGTAACAAAAAATTAAAATTTATTGGTTCAACATTTTTTTTATGAGTAAATTTTGTGGAATTGAAATTTTGTAAAAGTTATTGCTGACAATAATCAATGTTTTCAAATATAATTTGAAAAAGTTATTTTTGAATGTGTGTAAATTTTCTGCACAGAAAAACAGTGTTGGAATGTGATACATTTTTACTATAGACAGATATAGACCCTGTAACCGTGTTTCATTGTTAGAACAGATTAGAAAACCTACTGTATCGTTTACCAACTATGTATTGATGTTGATTGATTTTTGTTCTACAAACACTTTTACCGAACAGATTTTATTGTTTAAATGTATTAATTTGTTTGATCTATTTCGGTGATTATCTACATTGTTTAAAAACTATTGGACATGAGGAAATTGTGTTTCTTTTTTTAACACCATTTTGTCAATAATTTTGTGACAATTGTGTGAAATATTTATATCACCTAAAATTTCATAATTGAAAGACTACCCACAATATATCAGCCTTTGTTTCATTTTTTAAGGGCGATTTTCTTCATGGAACATATGAAACTACATTTTAAAATGTTCAAGTTAAATAACAAGTTGTTTATCGACTAATCAATATTTTCACATGATCATTTGACAGAAATGTTCAGATAATACAATTTTATTCCTATGATAATGAAAAAAATTGAAATATTCATAATTTCCTAATAGGTTTATGTTTTGGCGAATAGCTCCTTTTGCCACTTTAACCAACCATATTTTGAGAAATAGTACTTTTTTTCTAACATTTTCTAACGTTCAGTTAACGTCTTGTAGTTAATAATTATTATTTGAACCTTGGTACTCACAATGCTTTCCCAAATGTCTATGTTTTAATTGTATGAATATTTTCTTATTCATTTGACTTTTTTTTTATTCATTGATTTTTCAGATCTCACTACTTCATCTCATACTCTTTTTTCTTTTATTTGAAGAAAGAATTGGTCACTCAACAATTTTCCTATCAAAATGTACTAAACTGCAAATATTTTCAAGAACTGAAGTGGATACGTTGGATGTTTTAATGTATAAAAAAGTTGTTGGCAACAAATTATTTTATTCCGATCAATGAGTATTGTAATACAAATGAAAATCATGATTTTAAAAAATACAATTTAATTTTTTCTTGTGTTAACCTTTTATTATTCAGATTTAGGAAAATAAATAATGAATTCAAAACTACAATGCTGAAAAGCTACCAGATGTGAGTAAAGAAACAAAAAGAAAGTAAAATAGAATTATTTAAACCTCAAATGAATGTGTTTATTTTTTTACTAAACCAAGTGATTTTTTAACATAATTTATATTTTAAGTTCGACCACACCCAGATTGTGATAATTCTGGTTGTATTTTGTAGTGATCATATCACCTAGCTGTTAATTAGATGCTTTGCTGTTTAGATCTGTTTATAATACTCTTTATTTTTATACTTTTCTGATTTGTCGCTCAATTTTATTTCCCGTTCTAGTCACTCCTGTGCTTCTGTATGTTCACAGTCATCAGTGTTGTAATAATAGGTTTTACTATTTTATAGTTCGGTGCAATTAATTACCGAATCGAGAGCATGATTTTTCCTTGCTGATATTTCTACCAAAGTGTATTTATGTGTATAGTTTTATTTTGTTATTTACCATTTATAATTTGCTGTACATTTACCAGTCTTGACGATTTTCACAAAATAAACCTCTGTTTATGGTTGATATGGTGTTATTACTCACCTTCAATACTTCCTCTATTTGATTTAGTTTGTTTAACTATCTGATCTATTTAGTTACTAGAAGATTATTTATGTTTTTATACTTTACTTTATTGTATTCTTTCAATCATTGTTGATAACAATAGGTTTGTAGTTGTTAATTTACTTTGTTTTACGTTTTTTTTTTGTTTACCTGTTTATTTATTGTGTTCCTTATTGTGTTTTCATTCCATAAAAATTGAAAAAAATTGTATTGACAAATTAATAAACATTGAACAACATATTTTACAGAGGCCGTTTAGGCCCACTAAGTTTTCAATCAATACTGCATGCTGTTCTAGAAGACAGTGCCTCTCTATTTCATCTTTCTTCTTTTAACTTGTTGCATTTGAAAAAAAATAAACATACTATTATGATTCATTGCTATAATAGTTCTTTTTTTATTGGTTGATAGAAACTTAAGGATAGATTCTTTAAACAATTGGTATGGAGTTTATATTATTCTAACCGCCAAAATGTGTCATCCTTTCTATAACAAGTTTTATCATCATTTTGACAGACACAGTAACAATAAAATTGATGTTTAAATATGTAAAATGTCTCTGTGTCTGTAATATGTGATAAGTTTCTGTTTTTTTTTTATCTATTGTCACTTCCACAAAACATTTTAGTAAAGTAAAATTTTTCACATAAATAAATATACTGTACTACAACAGAAAGTAAAATATTTTATAAGTTATTGTTATTAGTATTTTCATTCTTATTATTGAGTGGACATTTAAATGTTTCAAATTAAAGAAATAGTTGTTCTATGAGATTATAATGTGTGAAAATATTTCAAAAAATGTGTTCATCAACTACTAAAATACAATGGAGGAAAACTGAGCTTCCCATAATAATTACTCCAATAAGTTGATCTAAGGTAAGTATAAATGATTTTACTTTACAAACTTTAATAATAATCAAAACAACTTTCAATTACTAAGAAATTTTTATATTTCACCGTTTTTCGGAACAAATATTCCAACAGAATTCACAGTAGCATTACCCCAAGGAAGCTTAACTGAGGGGTACATTTTATGCTCCATTCTGTTTTAACACAGAATGTAATGAAGCATTTTCAGGGAATATTTGAACAGTAACTTTGATGATTGTGTTCATTTGATGCACCTTAGAATGGAGATTGTTGCAATTTTTATTAAGTGGTTGCAGCTATTATTTGGGAAATATATAAAAAGCTAAAAAGGAAGAGTTATTTTGGGAGAGGAAATAAAAATAGAAGAAATAAAGTTATATCAATATCCGAAAAATTCTGTAATAATTTATCAGAGGAAAATAACCGAATACCAGAAGAAACTAATCTGGAGGTCATGAACAGTTACACATTATTTACTTTTACATTCGTAACATAGCACTTGAACACATCAACAGATTTTTGGTCGTTTGTGTTATCATAGTAGGAAGGAAGGGTTTTGGAAAAGAAGGGAAAGAAAGTTATAAAATAAAACTGGATAACTCCAAAGGAACTTGACACTTGAAGAAAAAAAATTGCAAGTACAAGTAAACTTCTCATCCCATGATAAAACATGTTCTATAAAATAAACTACGTTTAAGCTTTATTTAAGTCTCCAAAAACGGGAAGAGACGGATTTATAAAAAAAAATCTCAATAAAAAAAAATTAAAATTATCTTCAATAGATCTCTCAAGATGAAAATTTTTTTTAAATCTCCAAATTGATCTATAAAAATGCATAAAGAACAAAAATGAAATTGCTTACGCATGCTTGATGAATACACAAAAAAATCTTTTAAAAATACGAAACCCAGAAGTAAAACCAAGGATAGAAGCATCAACGATAGAAAATGTGTCGAAAATTTTTGAGTTGGATTAAAAGAATAAGTCTTAAAACGTGAAATTTATTTAGATATTGAACCAAACACTACACTTCAGTCCAGC